ATTAATTCTGTTTATTTATCTAAAAAAATATATATAATATGATAAAGTCACCCCCTGAGATGCTAGTGATGACGTCACATCTGTCATCATGACGTCACATCTCAAAACCGGTACCTAACTCGAGATTCAAATTACAGATCTTTATTTAGAAATTATTACACATAAGTTTGATTATATTGTATTATATTTATATTTTTTACCTCATATATCATTAGAATATAAGTGGACATCCAATAATACACTTGTGTTTGCGAGATATTAGTGAATCATTACGCCATGCGCTACAACACTCATATCTTCCAAGTAACCTGAATTAATGCACAGTTTTTTGTGTGAATAAAAATAGTTATATTTAATATAAAAACCATCACTTATTAAATAAACTTTGTCACTTTATTTACATCAACGGCTTCGTTAACTACTGGTGATTGTGGTTTTAGTTTAACTTGTTATTTCGAGGTTTATTATATATCCCAGGTCACCCAAGTGTTATATTATATAAAACTATAAAATAAATAATCCAATAATATTAATATATCTTAAGTTTGCTGAATAAATTAGTTATTATAGATATTATCCATTAACCGTAGATAATATGAGATAGGGTATTTAGAGGTTATTAAGGCATGGTATTATATTATTAATGAGGTAATATATGGGCTGGTAATATATAATAGGAGGTGTTAGAGGCGGTAATGACCTCATCTCTCAGAATACCAGGAGAGAGCTTTGCCGCCAACCTATGACGTCATACCACGTGACCACCAGGGGCTTGGTTGTTCCAATAATATAACGAATACATCAAATAAATAATAAACTTTTTGAGTTATTAAAATATAAATAATACTTTTTTATAATATATTATATTTTATTATATGATATTTGATGTAATTTTATCTTTTTAATGGTTGTTTTAATAAGATAGTTTTTTTTAAGAGTTTTAGGTTTGTTAGTTTGAGTTATGGGGTGGTAGACGCTGTTTACACTGTGAGCGGCGGTTCATGAGGTGATACATTACCTCCTTATTTCCTCCATATCTCCCGCTATAAACCTTCAAAATGTCGACACGCAGTAGCAGAAAAGTCACAGTAACAACCACTACATCATCAAGTAGCGGTACAGAGACACCTAAAGCCGGAACAAGCAGTAGTACACCAGGAGCCTATAGTAAGCCACGTTCCTCCCCCCTGAGTCCAACAAGGCTCTCACGTCTCCAGGAAAAAGCTGAATTACAAAGCTTAAATGACCGCTTGGCAGCTTACATCGACCGTGTACGACATCTTGAGACAGAGAACAACCGTCTTAACATCCAAGTTGAGACAATACAGGAGAGTGTGACCAAGGAGGTGTCATCTATGAGAGGACTTTATGAACAGGAGTTAAGTGATGCCAGACGGTTATTAGACGACACTGCTAAGGAGAAAGCTCAGCTACAGATTGATGTTGGCAAGTTAAAGACCGATAATGAAGACCTAAGGCTGAAGTAAGGAGAAACAATGAGTTTTTATTAATATTAGTATTGTGTTATAATCATAGGTACAGATTAACCCAAGTTCCTCTGTCTTAAGTAACTCATTAATGACCCTTAAAGACCGATAATGAAGACCTAAGGCTGAAGTAAGGAGAAACAATGAGTTTTTATTAATATTAGTATTGTGTTATAATCATAGGTATAGATTAACCCAAGTTCCTCTGTCTTAAGTAACTCATTAATGACCCTTAAAGACCGATAATGAAGACCTAAGGCTGAAGTAAGGAGAAATAATGAGTTTTTATTAATATTAGTATTGTGTTATAATCATAGGTATAGATTAACCCAAGTTCCTCTGTCTTAAGTAACTCATTAATGACCCTTAAAGACCGATAATGAAGACCTAAGGCTGAAGTAAGGAGAAATAATGAGTTTTTATTAATATTAGTATTGTGTTATAATCATAGGTATAGATTAACCCAAGTTCCTCTGTCTTAAGTAACTCATTAATGACCCTTAAAGACCGATAATGAAGACCTAAGGCTGAAGTAAGGAGAAATAATGAGTTTTTATTAATATTAGTATTGTGTTATAATCATAGGTATAGATTAACCCAAGTTCCTCTGTCTTAAGTAACTCATTAATGACCCTTAAAGACCGATAATGAAGACCTAAGGCTGAAGTAAGGAGAAATAATGAGTTTTTATTAATATTAGTATTGTGTTATAATCATAGGTATAGATTAACCCAAGTTCCTCTGTCTTAAGTAACTCATTAATGACCCTTAAAGACCGATAATGAAGACCTAAGGCTGAAGTAAGGAGAAATAATGAGTTTTTATTAATATTAGTATTGTGTTATAATCATAGGTATAGATTAACCCAAGTTCCTCTGTCTTAAGTAACTCATTAATGACCCTTAAAGACCGATAATGAAGACCTAAGGCTGAAGTAAGGAGAAATAATGAGTTTTTATTAATATTAGTATTGTGTTATAATCATAGGTATAGATTAACCCAAGTTCCTCTGTCTTAAGTAACTCATTAATGACCCTTAAAGACCGATAATGAAGACCTAAGGCTGAAGTAAGGAGAAATAATGAGTTTTTATTAATATTAGTATTGTGTTATAATCATAGGTACAGATTAACCCAAGTTCCTTCTGTCTTAAGTAACTCATTAATGACCCTTAAAGACCGATAATGAAGACCTAAGGCTGAAGTAAGGAGAAATAATGAGTTTTTATTAATATTAGTATTGTGTTATAATCATAGGTATAGATTAACCCAAGTTCCTGTGTCTTAAGTAACTCATTAATGACCCTTAAAGACCGATAATGAAGACCTAAGGCTGAAGTAAGGAGAAATAATGAGTTTTTATTAATATTAGTATTGTGTTATAATCATAGGTATAGATTAACCCAAGTTCCTCTGTCTTAAGTAACTCATTAATGACCCTTAAAGATAGTGGAAACCTCAAGTAAGACCAATAAGTAACACCAATTACCCCATAATTGGTGTTACTTATTGTGTTTCATAGTTCATGTGGTCGCTGCTTTACGTGGGGGAAATATTTGTACATTTTATTAATTATTTCCTTATTTATTGGTGCCATTGTTGTTCATGCTCATTCTTTAGTTATTTAATCCTGTCATTTTGGTGCTAAATTGGTATTACTCACTGTTCTTCTCATTGTACCTAGTTGGGCAGTGCTTGTTAAAGGAGGCATGTTCTTGCTTACAGGAAGTACACCTCAGCTTGTGTGTATGTTTACCTGTGTGTATGTTTGTGTATGACTGTGTGTGGACGTGTTATGTATGTACGGTCCGACTAATTTCCCAAATGTAGCTGGAATGAAGTCAAATAATGGTCGTACAAGCGTAATTCGGGCTGTGAATCACTTCTCGATTATTATTTGGTGTCATAAAGTAAAAAAAAAATTGGTAAACTTAATTTAATCTGAGTTGAGTTGTTAGGTTAGGTACATGCACTTGATCTGTTAACTCAGATTAAAGTAAGTTTTCCAATTTTTTTTGACTTTATGACACCAAATACTAGTCGAGAAGTGATTGGCAGTCCGATTTATTCATGTAGGACCATTATTGGACTTTATTGCGGCTACATTTGGGTAATTAGTCGGACCATCTGCTGTATGTGTGTGTTTGTCATTCTAACTCTTGTCCTATTTATCTGTCCTTCTTTATTATTCTTTAGTTTTTATCACTTGTCTGTTTGTCTGTTCTGGGAGAAAAATGAAGGAGGTCACGAAGATGTTGAAAATTCCTGAAGGGGGTGAAAAAGGTTGAGAACCACTGGTCTAACCTAACCCATTGTTAACCTGATAAGAAAATAAGGAGTCTGCAATAGGCCGGTTGGTCAGTTCATGGCAGCTCCTGTCGAGAGTTACTACCACTCTTTATCATCCATGAATCTATCCAGCCTCCTTTTAAAACTTTCCAGAGTTCCCGCACTTACTACAAAGTTGCTAAGCTTGTTCCACTCGTCCACCACCCTATTTGTGAACCATTTCCTTCCTATCTCCCTCCTAAACCTAAACTTATTCAGCTTAAATCCGTTGCTCCGAGTCCTATCCTGCTCGGATATTATAAGAACTTTATCTATATCCCCTTTATTGATTCCTATCACCCACTTAAATACTTCTATCATATCTCCCCGCACTCTTCATCTTTCTAGGGAATGCAAGTTAAGTTTCTTTAACCTATCCTGATATGGAAGGTTTCAAAGTCCCGGAATCATTTTCATCATTCTTCGCTGCACCGACTCCGGCGAATTGATATCCATTCTATAATAGGGGCACCAGAACTGAACCGCATAATCGAGGTGCGGCCTGACTAGCGCAAGATATAGTTGCAATAAGACCTCTGCACTCTTATTACTTACACTTCTAGATATAAAACCCAATACTCTGTTTGCCTTATTTTGAACATTAACTCATTGTTTTCTAGGCCGTAGGTCCGGGCTTACAAGTACCCCGAAGTCTCTTTCACAAGTCGACTTCTCTAGGTTGATGTTGTTAAGGCTGTATACATTGACAGTACTGTATTTGTTCTTCCAATATTAAGTATGCTGCACTTGGTGTTGAATTTCATTTGCCATTTTTCAGACCACCCCTGCAGTTTATTTAGATCCTCCTGTAGTGCATTTGCCTCCTGCCCTGAATTAATCTGCAGCCCTATTTTGGTGTCATCCGCAAACTTGCTTATGTCACTGCTGATCCCAGTATCTAGATTGTTTATATAGATTATGAACAAAAGTGGGCCCAGTACTGACCCCTTTGTAAACCCATGTTGAGAGTCGTAGGTTAATTTCTTTTTCTCTAAATGCGATCGGATGTTGTTTGCTATAATTGATTCAAGAAATTTCCCCACTACTGACGTCAAACTGATCGGCCTGTTTCCACAAGTCTGGCACAACTCCCGTGTCTAATGATTTTGGAAACAAATTTACAAGGGTTCCGCTAATATTTACCTAACCTGTTCTTGTCCGTCTTTAGCACCCTATCTGTTCCACCCTCTGTTCCACCCTATCTGTTCCACCCTCTGTACTTCCTCAGGATTAGGTCAACGTTATAAAAATGTCATTCCCAATACTGTACAAATTAATGTAATAATTTGTCATATATTTTAACAACAGCAGAAATTAACGTAGCAATTTGTCATATATTTTAACAACAGCAGAAATTAACGTAGCAATTTGTCATATATTTTAACAGTGGAATTTAACGTAACATTTTGTCATATATTTTAACAACAGCGGAAATTAACATAATATTTTGTCCTATATTTTAACAACAGCGGAAATTAACGTAGCAATTTGTCGTATATTTTAACACAGAGGATTTTAATTAGTGTTACAGGAAATGTTATAATCTGTGTTAGTTATCATGGTCGTTACAAGACTTGATGTTTGTTCCAATTTACTTTACTTGTTTATTGTTTTGGTTGTGTTGCTGTGACGTGTGTGTGTTGTGGTGTGTGTGTGTGTGTGTGTGTGTATGTTGTGGTGTGTGTGTGTGTGTGTGTCTGTCTTAGGTAAAGGTTTTAGGGTAAGTCCGGGATAAAACAGGATTTAAACCAAACATTAACCTAGAATTCGGGTTTATTGCGTAAGGTCGGAGGTTTAGCATTATCTGAGCGTGGTTTATTTGGAGATGTGCTGTGATTGGTTGCTTTGTGTACCTGTGTGTTTGTTTACATAGAGGTGTGCTGTGATTGGCTGCTTCGTGTTTAGGCATGTTCCAGTGTGTATGTTTATATTTAGGTCTGCTGTGATTGGCTGCTTCGTGTTGCGTGACATTATTTAGGATTTTGTGAGATAGAGAGAGTAGGCGTATTGAGAGAGAGAGAGAGAGAAAGGCGTATCTACATGAGAGAGACGGAGGGGAGGCGTATTCCCACCTTAATAGTGTGGGAACCTCAGTATGAATGGCTTCGTTGGGGGGAGGGAACTATATTTTATGAATGGCTCGATTTAAATGACCACAATTGTATGAATGAACTTACTACAGTACTACTACAATAACTACCACCACTACTACTACTACTACTACTACTACTACTACTGTGAATGAATAGACCCAGAGAAGAGGGTAATACCTACATAGTGTGGTGAGGGTTTGAATATAGGATGGCAAGCTGTGTGTGACCCTGAGAATTAGTTGTTTAGAGGTGTTGGGTGAATGGATGATTAGGATGAGTTGGGTGAGGTTGGATGATTGTGAAAGACTGGGTGGGAGTCATTCTCTCTCTCTCGTGGGTGTGTGTGTGTGTGGTTTTAAAAGTACTTTGGCAGGTTTTACACACACACACTCACTCACTCACACACTCACTCACTCACTCACTCACACACTCACTCACTCACACACACACACACACTACAGTAAGACACAACCTTATCTCATACTGATAACATATCCAATAATATTGTTCTTATCTATAGCGGTTGTAGGAAATTGTGGTATTAATATAGAAATAAATACCCAAGACAACATGGTATTAAGTAGGATTGGCCATAAGGGTCAAATACCTCCGTGTAAATACCAAAATGCCGACCTTAATCTCTCCAAGAATGGGGTCGGCACGGTCTAGGGTATGACGTATCTGTGACGTCATCGATGGTCTAGGTTCTAACGTCATTGGTGGAGCTGGTCGTGACGTCATATCCGGGTGCCGGCTGTATTGTACTATAGGGCGGAAATTCTAGGTGGTGGAATGTTGATGTTAGGGGGGGGAGGTCTCTCTCTCTCAGTGCCGCACCTAAACCTGTCCACTCACGCACTCAACGCCTACGCACACACACACGGTCACTGTCCAGCCCCACCCCCACCCACTTACGCCCACACACGTTCATACATACGTTCACCACCCTACCCGTCCACCCACACGACCCACGCTACACCCACTCAACGCCTACACATAACCCCCACCCACGCCACCCCCACATACCCAGGCACGCCATCTTTCACCACCCACACGCCCATGGTGACCCTCGGCATTAGGTTTGCAAGTCACCCACGAGAGAGGGGGTCCAGAGAAACTTGTTCTCTCTCTCTCTCTGTGGGTCCTTATGTTCAGTGTTTACCTAAAGAATAACCTAACCTAACCTGACTTCAATCTAACCTAACCTGACTTCAATCTAACCTAACCTGACTTCAATCTAACCTAACATGACTTCAACCTGACTTCTAATCCAACCTAACCTGACTTCAATCTAACTGACTTCAACTAACTAACCTGACTTCAATCTAACCTAACCTGACTTCAATCTAACCTAACCTGACTTCAATCTAACCTAACCTGACTTCAATCTAACCTAACCTGACTTCAAACGACTTCAACTCCAACCCTAACCTGACTTCAATCTAAATAAATTGACTTCAATCTAACCTAACCTGACTTCAATCTAACCTAACCTGACTTCAATCTAACCTAACTTCAATCTAATCTGACCACACCTCATCTATCTTAAGCTTAACCTAACTAAATACACATATATTGTACATTTATAAGATACACAGTCAGACATATACAACTGTAAACATTGTGTGTGTGTGTGTGTGTGTGTACATGTCATAGCAAACTCTTAGGGATGGCTGGGTAGATTTTTAATAGCGGGGTTCCTTGTGTGGCTGTTTCAATGGCCTTCCCTCCCCTCTAGTGAACAGACCCTAACCCTGGGTATAATAGGGGGGGGGGGGGCACGTGTGTCGGCCATGGTGATATTGTTTAACGTTATGGGTGTTGGGTCGACTCTTCTTCCTCCACTACTACACCTGGTCACGCCATCATTGATTTTAGTGGAGCAGCAGCAGTCTTTCTTACCTGTCTTACAAGGTCATCCATCGTGGTGGTGGATGAGGTGGATGGCGGCGTATGGTACTGGTGAAGGCTGCTGTGGTGGTGGTGGTGGCAGTGGTGTTGTGGTGGTGGTTGTTATTGTTGTGGTGGTGGTGTTAGTTGTTGTTGTTATTGTTGTTTCCTGGGGTGCAGGTTAGGTTAGGTTAGGTTAGGTTAGGATAATGGCATTTACTAATCAGGTCAGATAAGCTGGCGGTGTTTAATTATTACTATCAGACTCACTAACTACCAATTACCCTTTAAAAGTCACATTAAACGACCCAGTTACATTTAAGGGGGCGCTCCCAGGTGGTGGGGGTGACGTCAGGTAGCGGTAGGGGAGGTGGCGGTGTACTTCAGGTGGCGGTGAGGTGCACTTGATCACCTGGGGGTTAAAGGCAGATGTGTGTGTATCACCTGATGATTAGACACCCTTAACCTAACCTCTGTGTGTGTGTGAGAGGGACTGTGTGTGTGTGTGAGGCTGTGTATGTATGTGTGAAACTTGGTCTGTGTGTGTGTGGCTAACTGGCTAGGCATGTGTGTGTGTACAGTGTGTGTGTGTGTGTACGTTACTCCCACTGATCCCTTGGTTCAATTAGTGTATTGTTGCGTACAGCAGAAGGGGGGGGGGGGGGGCAGACTCAGCGACCGTTGGTAATAAATGTGTGTGTGTGTGTGTACGTGTGTGCGTGTACGTGTGTGCGTCTGTGTGGTGGGCAGGGTCGTAACGGCTTGCCCTCTTAAAGTGTTTTTTCATAACAGTTCAAATTTTTTTTCATAATCGACAAATATTTCTTATAAAACTCAAGGTGTGTTTGATTGTTTGTTTGTTTGTTTGTTTGTTTGGTATTCCTACACACCACTACCCACCCACACATTAACCCCCATCTGTGTGTGTGTGTGTGTGTGTCTGTCTAGTCTCTACGCTAAGGATGTCAGGGGTTGGCTTAGGTCAGGGTAAAGTCTCTCCCTCACTCCCTCCCTCTCTTTCTCCCTCACTCTCTCCCTCTCTCTCTCCCTCTCTTTCTCCCTCCCTTTCTCCCTCCCTCTCTCCCTTCCTCCCCCCCTCTCTCCCTCTCTCCCCCTCCCTCCCTCTCCCTCACTCTTCCCCTGTGTGGTTAGGTTAGCGTCGGGGTGGTTAATCTTCGGGTGAGGGAACAGCTGTGGGTAAGAGGTGAAAGTTAGCTCACAATTCTGCATCTCCTTGACCTGTTGAGTCTCTCTCTCTCTCTCTCTCTCTCAGCCAAGACCCACAGCGGCTTTGACCAATATAGCGACATATACCTCCACCTATTGCTAAAGGTGTGTGTGTGTATGTATGTATGTGTGTATGTATGTATGTATGTGTGTGTGATGCCTCCGAGACGCCTGCCATCTAACCTAATCTAACCATTTTTTTTCCCTTGAACTTTGTGGTGAATGGAGGTGTGAAAAAAAAATCGAAATTATTGAATATTTTTGTGTTTTATTTTTGGTTTAATGAGAGGAATTTAAATATATACGATGGTTTATGTGTTTTAACCCCCCCCCCTTCCTTCCTTCCCCCTTAAATGGTGTCTAGGGGTGTAGTGGGTGGTTTGAATAGCCGTAACCCTCCCCCCCTTTAACGACGTCTTTCTAAGCTATTCCCAACAACGTGAATAAATTTTTTTATCAATATCAATAAAAAAAACCCAAATTATTAAAAAAAAATAAAGATATTAGTTTGTTTTTATATATATTATCGACTAACGGGGTCGTGTTTGATATACCGGGGTTAGATTGTCTTAAGGCTGTAATGCCGCATGTGGTAAGTTAACTAGATGGATATATTTAGTTTATTAATTAATGTACATACGTGTTTGTTATAGATTGGTATGTGTTTGTTAACCTGTGTTTTATAGAGAGAATAGTGATGTAGTGTTGTGATGCTGACAGTTGTGTGTTTCATCTCATCTTGTGGGTTTTTTTAGCGTCTTGTCAACTCTGAGGTAAGGTCTTAGCGCCCCGGGGGAGTGTGTGTGTGTGGGGGGGAGACAGAGTATGTGTGGAGGGATGTGTAGTGCATATCTAAGCCGTGTGGGGGGAGACTCGTACAGTTTTAACCCCCCCCCTAATTCCCTTGGTTAACACACACACAGTCTCTCTCTCTCTCTCTGTTTGCGTCATCATGGGCGTGGCTAGGTCCCCCCTATTGTCACTGCCACAGCTGATAAACACATTAATATTTATCAACACTGTCCCAGAATTAAAGAAATGGCAACCTAACCTAACCCTAGGCTGTTTAACCTAATCTAACCCTACCCTAGGCTGTTTAACCTAATCTAACCCTAGGCTGTGTAACCTAATCTAACCCTACTTTAACCTAGCCTACCCTCACCTAGCCTATTTAACTTAACCTAACTAACTTGTGTAAACATTAATTTCAACTTGTTATGGGTTTCCTGTTTGTTGATTGGCTGGTTGGAATGGTTAGAAACGGCCGTTAGGCAAGGAGTAATGGTGGGGTGGGTGGGTGGGGTGGGGGGTGGGTAGGGTGGTGGTACAGTTGGTAATCTGATACACCGAGACCTACTATTGATGGGGTGAGAAGTGAGGTAACAGGGGGGAGGGAAAGTTGTCTCACTAAGGAAAAAATTAGTTTGCAAAGTTATTTAAGAAACTGTTATAAGTTTTCAGGTGTGTGGCATTAGCTAGTAACCTCAACTTGCTAGTTCTCTGTAGGATAATGAACATAGAACATTGTGAGCGCGTGTCTCCAGGAAGTGAACATCAAGCAGGTGAATCCCCACTCCCCCATCAACACCTGCCATCATAAGTAACACCTCCCCCATCAACACTCATCATATAACACTTCCATCAACACTTGCCATCATTAAGTAACACTGTTCCCACCACCAACACCTGCCATCATTAAGTAACACTCTCCCCCATCAACACCTGCCATCCTTAAGTAACACTCCCCCATCAACACCTGCCATCATTAAGTAACACTCTCCCCCATCAACACCTGCCATCATTAAGTAACACTCTCTCCCCATCAACACCTGCCATCCTTAGTAACACTCTCCATCAACACCTGCCATCATTAAGTAACACTCTCCCCCCTATCAACACCTGCCTTCATTAAGTAACACTGTTCCCACCATCAACACCTGCCATCATTAAGTAACACTCTCCCCCCATCAACACCTGCCATCATTAAGTAACACTCTCCCCCCATCAACACCTGCCATCATTAAGTAACACTCTCCCCCCTATCAACACCTGCCTTCATTAAGTAACACTGTTCCCCCATCAACACCTGCCATCATTAAGTAACACTCTCCCCCCTATCAACACCTGCCTTCATTAAGTAACACTGTTCCCACCATCAACACCTGCCATCATTAAGTAACACTGTTCCTTTTCTCTCCCTTAGGCTCATCAAAAAAGAGCGTGACTTGTCAGCGGCGCAGAAATCCCTTACCTCAGCTGAGGAGCAAGTTGCTGAGCTGACGGCTAAGCTTAACAGCTCTGAAACTGACCGGAAGAAGCTTATTGCTGAGATCAGGGTAAGAGGCTGTTCAAGGTGTTGGCACATAACATAATCTAACCTAACATGACCTGACCTAACATAACATAACCTAACCTAACATGACCTGACCTAACATAACATAATCTAACCTAACATGACCTGACCTAACATAACATAATCTAACCTAACATGACCTGACCTAACATAACATAACATAACCTAACATGACTTGACCTAACATAACATGACCTGACCTAACATAACCTAACATGACTTGACCTAACATAACATGACCTGACCTAACATTACATAATCTAACCTAACATGACTTGACCTAACCTAACATAAGCTAACATGACCTGACCTATTTATCTATTTTCCTACGCGTTTGTTTGTTTGTTTGCAGTCGTGTGTGTTTTTTGTGCGTTTATTGGTTACGTCAGGAGGTGTTTCTGGTTATGTGAGTAGGCTTAAGAGTGTGTGTGTGTGTTTTACCTCAAGGTGGTGTGTGTTTCACCTGGTTGTGAGGAACTGGTTCTGGCCTGGTGTAGGTGAGGATGACGGCCTTTGTATCAGTCCAACTCTTGTAATGGTGAAGTACAGGAAGAAAAGTGTCCAGGGATCGGCCAAGATGTGTCGTGAGGAGGTGTGTGTGTGTGTGTGGTGTTCCTGTAGTGTAGATGTAACTTCCTGTGTGTGTGTTAATAAGTGTGGCGCTATACAGTTTTATCCGTGTCATAATTTAAGTCTGTTTGTTTTATTGTGAGTTATTGTACAGAACAGTTAGATGTACTTTATCAACCATCCTGTGTTAATAAAGGATATCAATGAGTATTTCTATATTACAATTATTTTATTTATTTTGTTACTTTTCAGGATCTCAGGGATGAAGTGACCAAGCTAAGCCGGCAGCTCGGGGAGGCCAAGCAGCAACTTGAGAGTGAGACGCTGATGAGAGTTGACTTGGAGAACAGGTGCCAGTCTCTGAAGGAGGAGCTCCAGTTCAAGCAACAGGTGAACGGCAGTTATCACCAGTGGATAATTCACATACCTTTAGTTCGTTCTGTCCAAATATATTTAAAAAAAAAAGAATCGAGTGAATTTGTCGCAATAAACGTAAATTCCAATTGTAAACAGTGCGAGATTGTCGTCACCGTTCACTTAACCTTACACGTGTATACCGCTCCAGATTTACGAGTCGGAGGTCACGGAGACCAAGAAGAGGAAGCAGGTGGAGCTCTCGGAGATCGACGGCCGTCTCCAGTTAGAGTATGAGGCCCGGCTTCAAGACTCACTCAGGGAACTTAGGGGGCAGTATGAGGAACAACTGAAGAACAACCGCACAGAGGTGGAGTACCTGTATGAGACTAAGGTAGGTGGTGTGTTAGAGAGCGATGTGAGTGTATTTATTGCTATTTGAATCTAACCAACCCTAACGTAATCTAAACCGCTCCCTCTTTATTTGTTCCGGCCAAAACAGATCGATGAGCTTAACAGGCGTGACCAGCGAGTGAGCGAGGGAAGTGACGCTCTCACCAGCACACTCCGGGACTCTAAGAGGAGGGTTCAAGAACTAGAGTCACGCCTCGCTTTCCTCGAGAGCACCAACAGTACCCTAGAGGTGAGTTTGTTCTCGTCGGGTTCGTCGTAGAGAGGTTTTCACCGTGTCCATTATAGAGAGGTTTTACTATATCATAAACGACTTGATCCTCGACAGCAACGGGTGCTAGACTTGGAGGCCCAGCTAGAGTCTGAGAGGGACGGCCACTCCAACGACCTTTTGATCCTGAAGGAAGAGATTACTCGCCTACAGACAGAGATGAACACCCAGCTGCAGGAGTATCAGGACCTCATGGACATTAAGGTCGCACTGGACATGGAAATAGCCGCCTATCGCAAACTTCTGGAGGCCGAGGAGGCGAGGTTGGTCGTCCCTTCCTAGATCTATACACTAGCTATGGGGTCTGTCCTGTAGGTCAGACACACATGTACAGGGTGTCTTATAGTTCACACACACATGTACAGGGTGTCTTATAGTTCACACACACATGTACAGGGTGTCTTATAGTTCACACACACATGTACAGGGTGTCTTATAGTTCACACACACATGTACAGGGTGTCTCATAGTTCACACACACATGTACAGGGTGTCTTATAGTTCACACACACATGTACAGGGTGTCTTATAGTTCACACACACATGTACAGGGTGTCTTATAGTTCACACACACATGTACAGGGTGTCTTATAGTTCACACACACATGTACAGGGTGTCTTATAGTTCACACACACACATACATGTACAGGGTGTCATATAGTTCACACACACACATACATGTACAGGGTGTCTTGTTTTGACATATCCATCACAGGTTAAATATATCCACCAGTTGAATTACACACGTACGGATAGATTTATATTAAAGAATTGTATCATTTCAGCCACGTTTTGAAATCCATCCATCCGTTTTTTCTGCGTTTTAATTTGATTTCTTTATCACAGGTTGAATATGTCCGTTAGAAGTTTAACAGAGAATGACGGAAAAGATACCCTATCAGACGACAATTTTAAGGTCCTCAAACGCAAGAGAACCGCCCCTCGAGAAGACATCACCAGAAAACGCTCTCTGTGGCTCACGTTCTCAGGGGTCCAGTCATAGAGATCGCTGAAGATTGTCCTGAGGGCAAATTTGTTGCTTACAAAATAAGAGCGACAAGGTGTGTGTAGGTATGAGGTCTATACACACACACACAAGCACACATCATCTCACACCCCAAACACACACACTTCACCACACTTGCCCCCCACACTCAACCTCCACACTTGTACCCCACACCAACCACCACACTGTACCCCCACACTCAACCACCACACTTGTACCCCCACACTCAACCACCACACTTGTACCCCCACACTCAACCTCCCCCTTGTACCCCCACACTCAACCACCCCCTTGTACCCCGACAGGACTTCTCCATCGGGGGTTTCCAGATCATACGCTCAGCAGGAGAAGCAGAGACCACCTACAAGTTCCACTCCAAGTCTAAGATCCCCGGCGGCGCCACCGTCACCATCTGGTCCTGCGACACAGAAGCCATCCACGAGCCGCCTCTCACCATAGTCATGAAGAACCAGAAGTGGGCAGTCTCTGATAACATGACCACAAGGCTCCTGAGCACTAGCGAGGTAAGGTAGACAGATGACCCAACCTAATGGTCGTCCGTAAGAAAGTTTTTTGAGAGTTACTGAATTATAGTTGAGATAAAATGAATAAATATATATGTATAATTTTTTTTAGTCATCTAGTTGTGAACCTCCTCCCCCCCACCCCTACTTCCTACCCCATACACACAATTTCCCTTCATTTAAACGTCGAGAAATCCTCTTAGGAAATGGCCGTCCGAGAGAGTAAGCGGGAGACAGAGTCGTCGTCAACAACCAGGGAGAGAGAGTTCCAACCAGGCTCTCAGGTATAACACTGCTTAAGTCTGCTTCAGTTTTGCTTCATCCTTACGGCTACTTTAGGGTCGGGATATATCGCCATTTTATATAAAGATTTTTTTTTTATCGCGGTTACCAAGATTATCAACGAATTTCAATATATAGCGATAATTTGTCTTTATTTGGTGAGGGAAATCGGGCGGGAAATATTTCAAGTGTACCGCCATGGCAAACAAATGTGTTATTTACTAATTCACGCTCGCCCTCTCGGTCTTTCTGGGCGAGTGACGAGAAAGCGGCCGACTGCTGCAGATTCCAATTTCTAAGGTGGGAGTAAATGGGTCGCTAGTAATGGAAAGTTTAATGGAAAAGATATAATACTTTAACTAATGTAGGTGTGGGAGTGGCAGTGTGGCATCTGGTGTTCCTTCATATTGAAACACCCTGTTGTTCACTGGTGCTTTAGTTAGTAAGAAAAGAAACTCGTTAAGTCAAGTTTAGTCACGTTTTTGGCCTCCAGAACCTAACCTTATTTCCTCATTGATTACATGTAATTGTATATAGCGATTTAGCATTTAGTTGGGCTCTATCTGGCTATATATCCCGACCTTACTCTATTTAGAGCACTCTTTGTGGGCTGATACCTTGATATAGAGAACTTTACTCTCCATGTAATCCATTACTTTAAGGCTTTACTTCTAACAGAACCTCGATATAACGAACTTTCATCTGTATATAGTCCATTATATAGAGGTTTCACATCTAACAGACCCTCGATATAATGGACTTTCACCTAATATAGTCCGTTAAATAGAGGTTTGGCTGTTATAGGGAGGATGCATGGCATGAAGGTATTTAATATTATTAGTTTAATTCTCTTGTGGATTGTACCAACTGGTCAAGTGATTTAAGTTCACTATTTTGTAACTTTAACGGCTACACTAATGATGGTAGGTGATTGGTGGGTGGTGGTGATACTCTATGAATCCAGTTCTGTGATTGGTTGATGCTGTCACACTCCACTAAATCAGCTTCTGTGATTGGTGTGTTTGAGGTTAAAGATCATTGGAGCTTAATCTATTAGTCAGTTGTGCTTTTATTACCAAGTGCTGCAGGCGGTCTAACATTAAAGCTTAAGTAAATGCTTAATGCCCCCTTGTCCACCCTCTAAGCTGATAAGTAATTGCAACTTAACTACACTACCCCCATTGGTTGCCGTCATCCACTCACTCGTCAGGGCTTATATATTTTTCTCTTTCTGGATCATACGGCGGCCCCGATCGCCCGAAGTTTTGTAAATAAATAAACAATCTCCGTTCTTCAGTTAAATTACTGTTTAGGGCGACTCGGAGGTCTCGCAGCGTGTGGAAATTAATGTTCTGCGTGTTTTCTTTCTCTGGGGTCACTTGGGAGTCTGAAGATTGGACACCCTAGCTTATTTTACCATTAGGGTAGGTTAGGTCAGGGTAAATTAGGGTAGGTTAGGTCAGGGTAAATTAGGGTAGGTTAGGTCAGGTCAGGGTAAATTAGGGTAGGTTAGGTTACCATTAATCTTTAGGTGAGTTAATCTTGGGAGTCTCATCATCAGGTCAACCGAATAATCTCCTCCGAATAAATTAAACCCAAACTACCACTGTTAATACGATAATTAAACCCCTAAGTTAAATTCTAAAACCATTTAACCCTGTTTACTGATTAACATTTATTACGAATAGCATTTTAAAAGTTTACATTTGTTAATATTTTGTGAAGATTAATTAAAAGTTTATATTTCTTGTTAATATTTTGTGAAGATTAATTAAAAGTTTATATTTCTTCTTAATATTTTGTGAAGATTAATTAAAAGTTTATATTTCTTGTTAATATTTAGTTTAAAAAAATGATAAAACGTAAGAAATTTTATCCCGTTTATGATCTCCAAACTAAATGGCATTGTGGTGTTTAGAAATGTGTTGTGATGATAAATAATTCTCTCAATTTTTTATTTTTGGCTGATTTTTGTGTTAATTTGACTTGTATGTATTTTTTTAGACAATTTCTTATTTGTTTGAAAGTTTGTCTTCATTCCTTGTATAATGCATGAACTTACATTGTCTGGGGAGAGAGAGGGGGGGTGTTGGGTCACATGAAGATTGACACCTCACCTAACTTTTACCTAGGGATTAGACACCTTAACCTAACTTAAATTAACCTAACCCTCCCTAGGTAACATTAGGGTGTTTAATCTTCAGGTGATCATTATTATTATTATTATTATTAAAATTTTCCTTATATATATTTGTGTGTTCTGTTATGGTGTTCACAGATCATGTACAGGGTGTGTTATAGTTCACACACACACATGTACAGGGTGTGTTATAGTTCACACACACATGTACAGGGTGTGTTATAGTTCACACACACATGTACAGGGTGTGTTATAGTTCACACACACATGTACAGGGTGTCTTATAGTTCACACACACATGTACAGGGTGTGTCTTATAGTTCACACACACATGTACAGGGTGTCTCATAGTTCACACACACATGTACAGGGTGTCTCATAGTTCACACACACATGTACAAGGTGTCTCATAGTTCACACACACATGTACAGGGTGTCTTATAGTTCACACACACATGTACAAGGTGTCTCATAGTTCACACACACATGTACAGGGTGTCTTATAGGTCACACACACATGTACAGGGTGTCTTATAGTTCACACACACATGTACAGGGTGTCTTATAGTTCACACACACATGTACAGGGTGTGTTATAGTTCACACACACATGTACAGGGTGTGTTATAGTTCACACACACATGTACAGGGTGTGTTATAGTTCACACACACATGTACAGGGTGTGTTATAGTTCACACACACATGTACAGGGTGTGTTATAGTTCACACACACATGTACAGGGTGTGTTATAGTTCACACACACATGTACAGGGTGTCTTATAGTTCACACACACATGTACAGGGTATAGTTCACACACACATGTACAGGGTGTGTTATAGTTCACACACACATGTACAGGGTGTGTTATAGTTCACACACACATGTACTGGGTGTCTTATAGTTCACACACACATGTACAGGGTGTCTTATAGTTCACACACACATGTACAGGGTGTCTTATAGTTCACACACACATGTACAGGGTGTAACAGTTCACACATATGTACAGGGTGTCTTATAGTTCACACACACATGTACAGGGTGTCTTATAGTTCACACACACATGTACAGGGTGTCTTATAGTTCACACACACATGTACAGGGTGTCTCATAGTTCACACACACATGTACAAGGTGTCTCATAGTTCACACACACATGTACAGGGTGTCTTATAGTTCACACACACATGTACAGGGTGTCTTATAGTTCACACACACATGTACATGGTGTCTTATAGTTCACACACACATGTACATGGTGTCTTATAGTTCACACACACATGTACAGGGTGTCTTATAGTTCACACACACATGTACAGGGTGTCTTATAGTTCACACACACATGTACAGGGTGTCTTATAGTTCACACACACATGTACAGGGTGTCTTATAGTTCACACACATATGTACAGGTGTCTTATAGTTCACACACACACATGTACAGTTCACACACATGTACAGGGTGTCTTATAGTTCACACACACATGTACAGGGTGTGTTAGTTCACACACACATGTACAGGGTGTGTTATAGTTCACACACACATGTACAGGGTGTCTTATAGTTCACACACACATGTACAGGGTGTCTTATAGTTCACACACACATGTACAGGGTGTCATATAGTTCACACACACATGTACAGGGTGTCTTATAGTTCACACACACATGTACAGGGTGTCTTATAGTTCACACACACATGTACAGGGTGTCTCATAAGTCACACACACATGTACAGGGTGTCTTATAGTTCACACACACACACACACACACGAGGTCCCCAAATCATGTCAGGAAGTGTTTACATCTCAAGACATTGTACGTATTGGCTTAACTTGAATCAGCTTTTAACATTGAGTGATAAATTAATTTTAACTTGTTTCTGTGCTAAAGATAATGTTAGTGTCTTGAGTTAAGTTTATGTTATGATAATTATTTGTACAGTGTTCTGGGTTTAATATGATGCTGAATACTTATACAGCAAGACGTCAATATAACGCACTTCTTTCTTCATACACTTCGTTATATGGGGGTTTCACATCTAACGGACCCTCGATATAATGGACTTGCCTCTATATAGTTTATTATATGGAGGTTTCACATCTAACGGACCCTCGATATAATGGACTTTCCTCTACAGTATATAGTTTATTATATGGAGGTTTCACATCTCACGGACCCTCGATATAATGGACTTTCCTCTATATAGTTCGTTAAATCGAGGTTTTTGCTGTAAAGACGTCATCCAATCTTTTTTATTTTGGGTTAATTAATATTTATCGATGCATTTTATACACACACACACACACACGCTTCTCATTAAATAACTTCAATGCTGCGTTTCCAAATTAGTTTAACCTCAGCTGCGTTTCCATATTACTTTTACCTCAGCTGCGTTTCCTCCTCTTTGGCCTCTCCAGCAGTGCACTAAACACCAATTATTGTACCATATTGTAATTTTTACCTTTGTATTTAACCTGAACATCAGCTCCACTCCCATTCCAGGTAGTTAGGGGGGGGTAAATTTTAGGTTGGTTAAGCTAGGGTTGACTAATCTACAGGTGAGCACTTGGGGGTTAATCTACAGGTGTGCACTTGGGGGTTAATCTACAGGTGTGCACTTGGGGGTTAATCTACAGGTGAGCACTTGGGGGTTAATCTTCAGGTGAGCACTTGGGGGTTAATCTTCAGGTGAGCACTTGGGGGTTAATCTTCAGGTGAGCACTTGGGGGTTAATCTTCAGGTGAGCACTTGGGGGTTAATCTTCAGGTAACCACTTGGGGGTTAATCTTCAGGTGAGCACTTGGGGGGTTAATCTTCAGATGAGCACTTGGGGTTAATCTTCAGGTGAACACTTGGGGGTTAATCTTCAGGTGAGCACTTGGGGTTAATCTTCAGGTGAGCACTTGGGGTTAATCTACAGGTGAGCACATTTGAGGGTTAATCTACAGGTGAGCACTGGGGGTTAATTCTACAGGTGTGCACTTGGGGGTTAATCTTCAGGTGAGCACTTGGGGGTTAATCTACAGGTGTGCACTTGGGGGTTAATCTACAGGTGAACACTTCGGGGTTAATCGTCAGGTGAGCACATGGGGGTTAATCTACAGGTGAGCACTTGGGGGTTAATCTACAGGTGAGCACTTGGGGATTACAAAGATGTTTTGGTATAAACTTTCATTAATTTACAAAGAACTAATTTACAGTGTGGGTTTCTGGAACGCTGTGTAAATCGGGTGATGTCTCTTGCTATATATTGTCTAATGTTTTTTCTTGATTATTAACACCAGCACATTAATCAGTGATACACACACACACACACATACATACATACATACATACATACATCACACACCTACACACACACACACACTCTCTCTCTCACTCACTCACTCCCAAATGCTTTATTGAGATAGTTGGCTGAGCTTGAACACACACCAGATGGCATATTAGCTGTCGGCTGCTTAAAGACCTAGGGGCTGTCCCCAGCTTATTGTTCTGCTATCCTTCATTATCTGTTACACTGAGAGCAGCTGTCAGGTTTGGGACCATTTTTTCTTAATCATTGGATAATTCTCTTAAATTCTTTGTTTATTTTTTGCTCAGTGTTTACAAAGTTTGGGGCTCTCTTTCTGATTGGTTGGGTGAGGTTAGGCCGCCCGTGTTCTCGAAGACCTCATTTTTCTCTTCCACTCTGCAGGAAGAGGGGGAGGTATCGCGACTATACACTGGTTGCATCCTCGCTTAAACCACCTAGTGTACCTACCATCTAAGGCTCCTCCTCCTACATCGTAAGTAGCGTTAGGGCGTACTGTCTACCAAGTCCCGCCTCTCTATCATGCCTACACTAGTTCCATTTTCTTTTTTAATAAGACACAAATTCTTGGTTTTCCTCCCCAGTGTAAATCATTACTGTACTGTCTGGAGGTTCATGATGACTAGGGATATTGTGTGATCTGACAGCTGCTTTTAGTAAACTGTGTGTGTATACAGGGAGGGTCGCGGGCGGCACAACGTACCGAGCGTCGTTGCCTCTCTCGCGGGCCTCCCGTACGGCGATTCCCAGACCCGGTTCGTGTTATTGTGTTTGTTCATTGCAGAGAAGTGCCCAGGGAACCTCTCCGGAGAAATGCAGCATCATGTGAGGGGCGAGCCGCCGCCGCCCACCCAATGTTACGTACAAACGACCTCCATCCCCCTGAGCTGCACTCTACTGGTGGACGTCCGGCCTCGCCACGGAAGGATCGAGAGAACGGATCGAGGAAGGCGTCGCTCCTCAGAGTGTTAATGTAAACTAACTCTGGATGGTTTTATTTTGGTCTAAAATGTTGTCTATCTGTTGGAAGAGTTTGGTCCACCACTGCTGCCGGCCACCCGATATAAACTGGCCACGATACGTTACTAAAGATGAGTGTTGCTTCGGACGTGTGATGGGGTCAAAGTAGTGTGCTCGTGTCGACTTAATTGTCTTGAGGGATGTTTCGGAGACGTGCGGCGGGGGCCGAGTGACGCCGCCGGTCGGGCCGTCGACGACTCCGGACGTCTGCGTTACTCGTCCCCCTGCCCGAACCAATCTGACCTTCCCTCGAGTTAGTGGAGAAGGATTAACTTTTATTTCCGTCGAGATGCCGAGTGGGACGCCCGTTGACGAGAGTGTGTTAGGGGGGTGAACACGATGCAGTACAGTAGTGCACCGGACACTAATAGTATTGGTAAGTGTCTCTGTTCCTGGTCAGTTTCTCGCTGGCAACAGAATTTCGCTTTTTAATAGTTTTTTAATTTTATCGTTTTAGAAAGTATCTTAATATTTTGGTTGCTCGTTTATAAACCAAATTACTGTACTGTGGTGGGGCGAGTCTGACCGGGTCGTTGTTTTTATTTGATCGAAGGGGGCGTCCGTCTCCCGAGAAACTCTCCCAGCCGTAATTCCTGAAACCGAGGTCAAAATATTTAGGCGAAGCCCTGGCGGCACTCATAACCCCTCGACCTAGCCCGGCCGGCACGAATGAAGTGCAGTTGTGGCGGTTATGCCGGGCCGCGGCGAGACCCCAGAGCCCTCTCGGCCCGTCACTTGTTTATTTGCTTCGTGCGCTTATCGTCGTATATCGGCGAAAACAAAACACAAAAAAAACGTAACCGTAAATTCGCCAAGCTTACTAAAGTGCTTACAGGTAATGAGGGATCTTGTCTGTTCTAAGTTCGACCTGGTTAGACGAACTAGACCACCCAAACGACCCATTCGTGAGTCTACGTGTGGTGTAAGATGGTCAGGTTTTTATCGTGAGCGGACGACCCACCGCGCCCTAACTCTGGCTGCTGTACTTCTCTTTGGGGTCGTACGTTCTGTTTACAAATTATAGTGAATTAATTTCTTTAGGAGTCGAGCTCGTTTAAATGTGACTTATTTTTTTGGGGTGGGGCGGAAGTGTAAGACTGTATATGGGTACTACTGCAACGAAGTGTAGGGGTGATCAATGATGTACAGCGGTAATTGAATGATTTATAGGGGTGATTAACGATGTACAGCGGTAATTAGGTGATTTATAGGGGTGATTGCGCATTGTATCGGGGTAATTCAGTGACAAAAAAGGATAATACAATGAAAGGTGCCAATAGTTTGATTGTAATTGCATATCGTTAAGTAGTTCATTAATCCTTAATTGTGAACCAAACCCGACGTGCGTTGGATCGCCCAGAACACTACTTGTAAACAATGTCAGTCGAGGGACCAGGAGATATAAATCATTAAATGCCGTGATTTCGTAGCTGATGGTTGACCGAGGGCGTTAAAACCACCAAACGGGAATAGAAGGATAACAACGTCGTTTGTATTTGACCGTATAACTAGACCTGAACGCGTATCAGAGATGAACAGATTAAGAACGTTATACCCCGTGTCGCCTGTACTCGATTATGAAACTAGACTTGAACGCGTGTCGGATTATTTTACCGAGAACACACAATGGGGCCACGATTTAACCTGTGCCATTAGGGTAGGGATTTAAGTGGTGAGAGAGGGAGAGAAAGTGAGAGAGAGAGAGGGAGGTGTCAGTTGTCCATCCTGTTCTCTACAATTAATCACTGCCATTATTTTTTATTTTTTTCCTAATCGTCGGTAAAGTTTCGGCTGATGTGGCGGCGATTTAACTAAGGCTAGGTCAGGTCTGGGGACACGCTGCTGAGTCATCGAGTCTCGGGTCGTGTGATGGGGTAACGCAACTGTATTTGTGGCGGAGAGAGAGAGAGAGTGTGTGGGGGAGTGAGAGAGTGTGTGGGGGAGAGAGAGAGAGTGTGTGTGTGGGGGAGAGAGTTTTATGGAAATAACAAACCGTTGTTTCCCCAAACAACTCGAGGCGTCGTTCACCCAGTGCGGCCGTCAGACGTGGCTATGAGAATTTTAGGCAATATTTCAGGGGATTTGTTTCCTGTACTTGTATCTGTAATAGCATCTTTTAGTTGAATTATGGAAGTAAGTCTTTTATGTTAATGTGAGGCGGTGTATGTGCAGACCGCGGCCTACTGGGTTGTTTATTGTTTACAGCCAAGAATGTTATTATTTTTATTATTATCGCTGCTACGCCTACTACCACTATTATTGATGATTCTGGTGTTAGTGTTATTATCAGTCACCGTCTCAAATATGGTAACTCGGTACATAACCCCAGAGGTGTGACGTGGAAGATCTCCTGTCGCGACTTTTCCTTGGGGAGACTCCGTGTATGGGCCGTCCTCGAGGCGCGTCGCCGTAGAATGAAAGTTAGCCCGGGATGTCTCTGGCACAGTACCCCCTTGGGACGAGCTATTGTTTAGGCTGTTAACACGCCTTCAGGAACGGCCCAAGCGGGAGTCCAAGTAATCATCGACGCTACCAGAACTTTGAGGTGTTTATTATTGTTATTAATCTCGGTAACCCATTGGAGGGACGACTGTTTTGTCTTGTCTTAGGGTATTGTTTTGACCGTTGCTCGTAGGTGAAGTTAACCCCCAGTCTTAGTCGACCTTAAGCTGTTGCGATCGCACACCATAAGGACTAATGCTGCCTGTGTGGTTAGGTTAGGACTGTGGGAGGTTTACTTCACCCGCCAGTCATAAAAGACGTATCGAAGGGTGGGGGGGGGGTTGAGTTACGTCCGGTCGCGTAGTAAACTCGTCGTGTACAGTAACACGACGTTAAGGAGCGTCGAGGTTCACAAATAAACAAAAACATTACTCTTTTTTGTCGTGTATTTTTGCCAGTCATTATTATTATTTCTCTCCCCCCCCCCCTCGCTGGTTCAGGATAACATCAGCCATCTCTTGAGATCGAACAATTCCTTTTAGTCATCACAGATCATCGAAGAAATAAACAAACTCTCCCAAGTGTGTGGTAGGATTAGTGGCGTTGAGTCATCGTTGGGGTCTTGTGGGGAGGAGGGGTGGGGGCGTGTGTGTCTTGGTCTATGGGGACAAAATAATTAGTTTTATTTTTCTTATCGTTTTTTCCTGGATTTTAGTAAATACCGGGTGTCATAAAGTCGTTTAATTTACCTTTCACTTGTGTTTTTTTTTTTTTTACACTCAAATTACCAAGGTGTCGGACATCCAAGTACGATGTCCTAACTATTTTACCAAGACTTCCAGATCCCCCCCCCTTCCCCCCAACCAAAGTCCCCAATATTGTAAAGCATATTATTATTTTTTTTAGACCCAAGACTGATTATTAGGTCGAAAATTATTCTTTTTCATATTAATATAAGGTCCAAAAAAAATATGATTAATTTTATTATTAGGACCGATAAACATTATTATTATTGATTGCGGCCAAATATGATTGCATACTTACACCGGCTTCATAGCTTGTACTACATTAGTTATTAGTGGTGTGCCTTCAATTGGAAAGTCTGTGAATCCCCAAAAAAGGTTAAAAAAAAATAATAAAGTATTTCTAATGTTAAATAAAAGTGGATCTTCTGTAATAAAAAGTTAAATAGACTCATGTTTGTATTTTATTTGTGTTCCTTGCGTTTGTTTTTGTCGATATAATGGACGTTCATCTGTATATAGTCCATTAACTGGAGGTTTTACAGCTAACGGAACCTTGATATAATGGACTTTTATCTCTATAGTCCATTAACTGGAGGTTTTGCAGCTAACGGAACCTTAATATAACACTCCTGTATATAGTCCATTAGTTGGAGGTTCTACTGTATAATGTATATGAGTTTAAATATTTATACACTAATATTATTAATTGATATTGAATAAAGTGAGTGTATGAGTAGTCTTACATCTATCACCTTGGAAGGATGAATAATAATGCAAAAAGTGATTAATTAAGTCATTTATTGAAGTTTAGGACCAATTTTAGGTTTTATAAATAATGTACACAATTGATTATTATTTATATACAAAAGAAAATTGGAATGTGGACTATTTTGGTAGAATTAAACGCACACATACATACATAAAAGTATACATAGTCACTGGCATAAACACACATACATACATTCACACATACACACTCTTATAGACATTCTCACAACCACACAACCAAAAAAATATTAATTACAATGAATAACAACCATTTTTTTATAGTTGAATAATAAAATACAAAGAATTTAATGGAAATAAGTAGGAGATATGTTCTTCACTTTGACCACTTGGGAGACAATGAATAATTTAAACATGTATGTAGATTAGTAGTGATTATTATTGTTTGGTTTCATATATAAAGGTGTTCCTCTACTTAAGAACATTCAACTTACAAAGATCATCACTGAGGGGGGGTCACCTGCCAGAACAGGTGGATGAGACTGGATTATTCTGAAGAAAATTCCAGATAGAACAAACATTACCTAAGAGAAGAGTGAGCCAGGTTTTAAGGCTGTATTAAAGGGTATAGCTGGACTAAATATCCATAATCTCTTTATTTTTTACGATATGTTTGGTATCTGCAGGAGTAAAGTTGGACTTACAAACAAGCCTCAAGAATGTAACTCGTTGGTAAGTAGAGGAGCTGTACTGTAAACAATGGAGTGTGTGTGTGGTCATGGTAACAGCCTTGTGGTTATGTGCATTAATCTTGAAGTAAAATAAACTGGGGGTCTAATCTTCACATGATCCCACACCAGGGACCAACAGCTAAAAATGGAATGACAATAATTACTGTATAAGTTATTACTCTAAATTGTCCTGAACAAATATGGCGATGCAGTCACCATCTACTCCTGTTACTACGGCCGTGTGACTCCCGCCGAACTGTCCGCCACCGTGGGAGGCGTCCAGCCCACTCTGTGCCAAGATGATAGTCCCGGGAGGCAGGTGGTCGCTCGTCAGTCCGGTATCGGCAGACTCGGAGTTCGTCATCATTGGGGGCGAGTCGACCGCCGCCGCCCCACCGAGGCTCACGTCCGCTTCGCCCGCGGCCGTCAACGTTTCGTCCGCGTCTCTACCGGGGGTTAAGCCGGCCGCGTCGGGGTTCATCCCGGCTACGATACTCCCTCCGTCGCCCACTAGGTCGATGCCGGTGTACTTGAGACCTCCGGGGTAGCTGTCGTCGGCCATCATCTCCTCGGAGGCCATCTTCTCGTGTTTCTTGAGGTGGATCTTGAGTGTCACGAACTGGATGAACTTCTTGGGACAAAACTGTCAAGGAACATCAGGTGAATTAGTTGGTTATATTGTGTGTGCGTGTATGTGTGTGTGATCTATGACACCCAATTCATGAATACACCCTCAATACTCACAGGACAAGCGTGCGGTCTCTCGCCAGTGTGGACCCTCTCGTGGCGATGTAAATGAGACACATGTGAAAACTCCCTCCCGCAGGCGAAGCAGATGTATGGGTGTTCTTTACGGTGGACTCTGTGGAGGAGGTGACAGCACTGTGTTATATGAGATAAATTATGGATCTTTGGGTTGACAATTTATATCTCTCTCTTACCACACCCCATACACAACACAGGCATCCAACACACCTCATGTGGTATTTGAAGTCGCTTTTACTGAAGAAATCTTTCCGACACATCTCGCACACATAGGGCCGATGACGCATGTGGTCACGTTTGTGGTGTTGCTTGAGGGAGGCCAGACACTTGTACTTCTGAAGAGGAAATGATGCGAAAATTATAGAAGCGAGAGAATGTATTTAATTTGAAGCGAGAATGTATTTAATTTAAAGTGAGAATGTATTTAATTTGAAGCGAGAGAATGTATTTTATTTTTTTTATATATCACCCGAAGTTACAAGCCGTCTCGCTTCACATCGTCTCGCCTCAAGAGGTTAACAGCGCTTAATCTAACCTGATGATGAAATGCTTTAACCTAATTGAGGAAGGGGTAAGGTTAGATCAGGTGAGTAAGGTTAGATCAGGTGAGTAAGGTTAGATCAGGTGAGCATTAGAGTTTAATGATGAATTAATATATGGGAGATAATGTTAATATATGGGAAATAATGTTAATATATGGGAGATTATGTTAATGTATGGGAAATAATGGTAACATATGTTAGAGTTAAGAGAGCAGCAGCATGTTACCTTGTTACACTGCTGACAGGCGTGAACCTCCTGTGTGGGGCGGTGTTTGACCATGTGTTTGTTGAGGGTGGAGCGGTAGGCGAAGGTAGTGCTACACATGCCACACTTGTACCTGTGTAGGGAGGCGTCGTGGGTGGCTACGTGCTGCTGGAGGTTCCACTGCTTTTGGAACTTTTTGCCGCAGTCTTTACAGGTGAGCGGCGCCACGGCCTGACCCTCGGTCTTGGCTCCGCTCTCCGAGTCTTCGCTCCTGGGCCCGAGGTCTCCGCCGTCTCTCTTCATGGAGATGGGACGCAGGGCGGCCTTCTTCTTGACCCTGGAGCCGGAGTTCTGGGGAGCCGACAGTTCCATGGAGGTGACGAGGGAGAGGAACGATCTGTCCGCGAGCCGTGAGGCGTCGACGGCATCTGATGGGGTGTCGGTGGACGGCCGAGGCTCCAGCTTGATGCCGTGTACCGGTAAGGGAGAGTCCGGGTCGGCGTCCTCCGGCTCGGTCGGATCGGCGACGGGGACGTTCCCGTCCGGGGACGAGACAGCGGCCCGGTGGGGGGCGAGGGCCGGGGGGCGGTCCTGCACGTTGATCATTATGGTCTCCTCCGGCCGGGCTGAGGTCTCCTCGGCCAGCTGCTCGGGTCGGGGGGCGTCGACCTGCAGGACCTCGTCCCGAGACGCCCTGTTGCCCTTCTTCATGACGTAGGAGACGCTCTCTCCCTCGGAGGTGATGTACACCACCAGGTACTCCTCCTCCTCCTCCTCCGCATCGCTCTCCCGTTCGGAGTTGGCGGAGGCCGTTATGGTGGCCTCGGGCGTGACGGAGACTGTCGGGGCGGCCCTCTGCTTCACCTCCTTGGTGGTGAGACAGGCGTGGGTCTTGAGGTCGGCCACACAGTACACCTTGTCGCAGGAGGCACAGCGGTGCTGCGTGCCCTTCCCGTGTTCCCGCTGCTCGTGGACCTTCAGCTCGGACTTGACGGAGAACTGGGCGCCACACACCCGGCAGTAGTAGCTGCGTCCCCCGGTCCCCCGCCGCCCCCGGAGGATGCGTCCGGCCTCCTGCAGCGTCATGGACTTGTCGTGTTCCGACTTGGCGTGTTTTCTGAGTCCCGCCGCACTGCGGAACGAGGAGGGACAGAGAGGACACGTGCCGGCCCCCGGCTGGTGGGTCGCCCGGTGTTTGTGCAGGAGCGTGACCTGGGTGAAGCGCTTGCCGCAGGTGGAACACACGTAGGGCTTGATGCCCGTGTGCAGGCGGTGGTGACGGATGAGGTTGGACGGATGGCTGAACTGCTGGCCGCAGACGTAACAGACGTTGGTCTTGATGCCCAGGTGCAGGTTGAGGTGCATCTTGAGGTCGTGAGGACGATAAAAACCTTTAGTACAGAAGGAACAGGTGAAGGGCCTCTCCTTGTTGTGTACAGACCTGATGTGGTCCTCCAGCATGAGGCTCTTGGGGAAGGTCAGGTGACAGTTGGGGCACTTAAAGGGGCGAGCATCGTGGTGTAGCTCTGCCTTGTGTACCCTCAGCTCCACGGCAGAGTCGCACGTGTACTGGCACATGTCGCAGTGCCACACTCCCTGGCCCCTGTGGACCTGCAGGTGCCCGTGGTAGTGCCGACCAGACTTGAACTGCGTGTGGCAGACGGGACAGGTCAGTTTGCCGGGGTCGCCGCACCGGCGGTTACGCCTCGGGGGCAGCAGGGAGTCCCGGGTGGCCAGCCTGGCCTCGATGGTGCTGGTCTCGTCCTCCCGGCGACCCGTCTCCCGACGGACTCTTCCCTCGGCGACGCCCTCCTCCGCGGCGCCCTGCTGCTCCGTCGACTCCTGCGCGGCGGAGGACAGCGCGAGGGCCGGCCTCTCGCCCTCGGCCTCTAACCTCAGCGGCCTCACGGACAGAAGCAACACCCGTTTGTCCTCTTGGCCGCCGTCCCCGGTCCCCGTGACTTCTCCGACGGCGGCGTCGACCGTCCCGCCGTCTCCGCCCCCGACCAGCACCAGGTCTCCGTAAGCGTGCTCCAGGTGTTGGGTGTAGGAGGCCGGCAGCGTGTGGAGCGTCGACCCGTCCGCAGAATTGAGCGTGATGGTGTGACCCTCCCCGGTCTCCGTCTCTCCGCCGTCCCGCGCGGTCTCCGCCTCTCCCTGGATGTAGATGTACGTCATGGCATCTCCGGTGCCGGCCTCCCCGACCACCACCAGTCGGGGACACTCCGCCCCGCCCCGAACGTCTCCGTCAAACATATCCTCGGTCTTACCGGCGGTCAGATCACACTGGGAAGGTTCAGACTCGAGACCTTCGGTCTTCAGCGGCTCAAGGACGATATTAACGGCCGTAGTATCTAACGTGGCGTAGGTCAGCTGGTGAGACGCCGCCTGCTGGACGCTGCCATCAGGACACAACAACAGGGGGTCTCCGTCAGGTAGTGTGACCATAGTCTCCTCGTCTCCCAGCATAACGTGGGGCGCTGGTTGGCTGAGGGGCTCAAGTGACAACACCTCACCTCTGCTTCCATTCTCGATAATAACATTGTTCATCATATACCTGTAATATATAATATTGTTCATTATATTCCTGTAATATAACATTGTTCATCATATACCTGTAATATATAATATTGTTCATTATATTCCTGTAATATAACATTGTTCATCATATACCTGTAATATATAATATTGTTCATTATATTCCTGTAATATAACATTGTTCATCATATACCTGTAATATATAATATTGTTCATTATAACACTGTTCATCATTTATCAGTGTTCATTATAATATTGTTCATCATATACCTGTAATATATAACATTGTTCATTATAACACTGTTCATCATTTATCAGTGTTCATTATAATATTGTTCATCATATACCTGTAATATAATATTGTTCATTATAACTGTTCATCATTTATCAGTGTTCATTATAATATTGTTCATCATATACCTGTAATATATAACATTGTTCATTATAACACTGTTCATCATTTATCAGTGTTCATTACATCATTGTTCGTCATATACCTGTAATATAACATTGTTCATTATTTCTGTAATAAAACATTGTTCATTATAACACTGTTCATCATAACAGTTCACCATATATCAATGTTCATCATATTATTTACTACAAGGTTTAATCTAACGTTTGTAAGTTTTAATGTGTAAAAAACGTTGCCAGGGATTTAATGAAACGTTTAAACGAGTCAATTAATAAACGTAGGAGGAACGTTTAATAAAGGCTCGCTGGCGTAGACTCGTTCATGGCTCCTCTTAACACACAATCGAGCCTCCGACCCTCAAAATGAGTCTATCTATTAAAATGTTCATAAATGGCGGTTTTAAGATGGCGCGGGATTTATTATATATGTCAGGAGGTGATTTATTCCTCGGTGGTTCATTTCGTGGTGGGAGGATTAAATTATAGTGAGTTACGGTGGAGAACAGAGGAATTATGTCTGACCTTTGAGGAGGAGGATGATGGTTACAATGGCGGGAGACGATGGTGACTACCAGTCAAATGAAAAACCTTTTGTAAATATTGTGTTTGTTTACTGTTTATAATTATTTTCGGTACAATTTACAATACAAATTTTATATATAATTAGTTTTTATATTAATTTAAATGTTAAAAGTTTTATTTTAAATTTATAATTGAAGATATTGTGAAATTTACTTTAAATTCTCAGTTGATGCAGTTTAATGTTAATAAGGTACCACGAATGACATGAGGGACGTCAATATTTTATCAAATAACCATAAAAAAATATTTTTCGGTATTAAAATACCTGAAATTTATTAAACGTATTTATAAAACATTAATATAATAAAAATTAATAATGAATACATAATAACAACCAAAGACATTATGGTCGGATTCAAACTTAACATGAGTTTACCGAACAGTGATAGACGCTTTTCCCGCCGACCGCTGTCATTCGAGTTGAGGAAGGCGAGGGAGCAACACCTGCGAGCTGAACCTTGGGGAGCCCAGACCTTCTCTGCTCCCGAGGTACCCCGTGAAGCTCAACTGTGACCAGACACATGTCCGTCACGCAACCAACTAAACCTCCTTGTCCTGAGGAAGTTTTTTGACTCGGGAATCAAGGGTCGTCCGTGGTGGCCCAGACACTAGTGCCAGTTGGCGTCATCTCCCACACTGACTCCCATCCTATAACATAAACGTACGTAACAAGCTCATTCAGTAGTTAAATAGTTGGTGAGTATAGTGGAGTTTGAACATGTAGTGGCTCTCAAGGGTTTACCTCCTGCTGCAGTGTGTGTAAGCTGTTAGTCTCTATACTGCCAGGTCTGGGGTCACTAATTCTAAGGTGAAATACTTAACTATCCACCCTATAGGCCTACAGTTTCCAATCTTTAATTTTTACTTTTATTTCTTACGGTTCTCTCCTGTATATTGTCACTCATGCCTTATAAACACATATTTTAATCCTAAATTACACACTAAGGTAAGGTTCTGGTTTGCTAGTTCGTGGGTAAATTCATTGGGGTGTAACAACTTCACTTAAAACTGTAATGAGGGATCCTTCTCTCACACATTGAACACAGACATAAGATTCTCTGATCACTGTACCTGTCGTAGGTATATGTGACGTGAGGATACGAGGTGTATTAAGTTCATACCGACGCATACAAGATATTTCCTTTCACGTATAGTTTCTGGGTCACTTCCAACACCCCACATAGTTCTGATACATTTATCCTTTTTCCAGATCATTGTTCTCATGTATTTTCATATGATATCTGTGGAAGTTATGTTCGCCACACGCTCACAGACGTAAATAGTATGACCTTCAAACCCTGATCCACACTTACACTAGTCCGGCTCAACTGGACTTTAACATTCATCTTATGGATACCCTGAGTTCTCCTTAATGCAATGAATACATACAATTAACATTATATAACTGTACCTGGGTACAATACAACACATGGTCTAGTAACATTGAGTAGGTGAGTTATCCTTTAACAATGTTTCCAGTTTTCTGAGGTTCTACAAGCGCGGTGGATTTGAATGTTATATAGCGTAATATGAATTTTTTTTTTTTTTTTAGGAATGACAATGATGTGCGCAGTACACAGCAACACGCAACATCTCTAACGGAGCTCCTGCGCAGATACCTCCTCCAGCACGCTACTCACAACGTGTCTCTGGGGCAAGCTCCTCACCACACGGCATCTCCAGCACCTAGAGTTCCCATCCTGAGTGCTAGACATGGCATACCCCTACAACACCATCACCACGAGTTGTTGTAAGTGCCAGGACTTTTTTTTTACGGGAATTAGCCCACCCGGGCACAGGTCAACGGAGCCGGGGGAGAAAAAGAACGGAAAGAAATTGAAAATATAGAAAAAAAGGTTATACTGTATTAATCTACACCACGAAGATGCCGGAAAACCAGCTTTTTAAAGTGAGACAGATTGTAAGAGCATGGAAACACAGAAGAAGGCAGAGCATTCCACAGTTTGGCTGTGTGAGGAAAGAAGGAGGCACTGTACTATAACGGGTTATTATAGTGTGACCCACATCCACACAGACACAGCTTGACTGTGTGAGGAAAGAAGGAGGCACTGTACTATAACGGGTTATTATAGTGTGACCCACATCCACAGAGAAATGGTGGACACCGCGGGCAAGACGAGTGTTACGAACCCACGGCCTTACCGGCGGTACACAGAATGCCAAATCCACTGAACATTGCCCGTTAAAGAGAGAGAGTGAAGCAACATTGTGGTGAAGAGAAAGGGAAGAGAGATTGTCGACGAAAGGAGGAGAGTTATTAAGACGAAATGCCTCTGATTCCACCCTATCTAATAGTTGGACAGACGAAGAGCGTAAGAATGGATAGAATTAGTTGTAGTGTGAAGTAAATCATTGACATCATTGAAGTAAATGCAGAGAAAGCATATAAAAAACTTTGTGGAGCAGGGACAACTAGCTGTGGGTAGTTTGAGTTTTCGTGGTATTTCTCAACTGTTCCGTGCTAGGAACTCAATCATCTCATATTTAATGCAGAAAGATGGGTCATCCAGGAATAAAAGACTCCAAAGCCCAGTCAGAAGTCTGGATTACAAAACAAAAAGTTTAAAAAGAATGACGTCCAAAAGTACAAACTTTCCCACCACAAAGTACGAAGGTCAGGCCAGATCACAGACATTGGCCTCTTACACGATATGGAACGTGATGGTGAAGTGAGTGATGATGGATTAAAGCTCAACAGGCTTTATAAGTCTGTATAAGTCCTTCATTACTCCCCTGAAGGAGGTATTTTGATGGTGGGGGTCTGAAGCTCTTCCAGATCCCATACCCTGCCATATTATACACTGGAATACCCACTTCTTAATGTATATACAAATGCCCTGATGAATAATGTCCCCATCACCTTAAACTCAAGAGGCATTAGCAAGAAGTTTCCTCATAGCTGTGGGTAGTTTTCCTCAGTATCATTTGGTGGTGGCAATAGAGAAATGGAGAGATTCAAGGAGGAAATGCTATAAGAGGTAAATCATGCCTACCGCCAGATATTGTATTCATACGACGGCCCTGGTAGTGTGTCCTAGGGTACACGTGGAGATGGCCGACTCTTGGATATTCTTATTCCCAAAGTGAATGGAATGGTAATTTTCGTGACGTTGTCTCGGTATTAATATGGGAATTAATATAACCCAAGAAAAACGAATGAAAGGTGCAGTTGTTGGTGCGTGAAACCCAGGGTGTTGTGTAGTGACGTAGCTGGAGTGTGTGTTACCCCCACAAAAAATACATATTGCACAGTGACTCACTCTTATATATATATTAAATAGTTTGTGTACCATTATAATATTACTGTACTTTCACATACTCAAGTATAGTATGCTTTAAATACACACCAAACATACTTAAACTTTACAAGTAACAGTTAAACAAAAAGCAAAAACGACATAAAGGATAGGGAAAAAAGTGTAACAAATTAGGACCAATACTTTAATATTTCTTACCTTATAGTATTATGTCTTCCAACCAAGTAAATAACTGGATAGAAAACACAAGAGAACTTAAAGTAGTCTAGCCTCCCCTCGTCTTGTCACGATGGAGACTTGTGCAGAACTGAAGTGAATTGTGTTAGGTCAGACACGACAAGGATTAACTTGCCGCCGATACAAAGGGAAGGATTAACGTCTCCAGTAGCTGCAGATATGGGTGATGAGCAGACCCAAAAGTGCCGGGGCCCCCTAGCTACGCTAGTGGTGTGTGTTGCCCAGGAAAGAGGTGACTGCCAGTCACTGGGGCGGACACTTCTAGCTACGCTAGGTGGTGTGTGTTTGCCCAGAAAGAGGTGACACTGCCAGTCACTGGCGGACCTCTCCCCTAGCCGCTAGTGGTGGTGTGTGTTTGCCCGGAAAGAGGTGACACTGCCAGTCACTTATTGCTAGTGGTGGTGTGTTTGCCCAGGAAAGGGGTGACACTGCCAGTCACTGGGCGGACACTTCCCCCCTAGCTACAGTGGTGGTGTGTGTTTGCCCAGGAAAGAGCAGTGACACTGCAGTCACTGGGGCGGACACACTTCCCCCAGCTACGCTAGTGGTGTGTGTTTGCCCAGAAAGAGTGACACTGCCAGTCACTGGGGCCCCCCCAAGCTACGCTAGTGGTGGTGTGTGTTTGCCCAGGAAAGAGGTGACACTGCCAGTCACTGACAAATGGAGTGGCACTATTACAAGAACGTCTGTTCGGCTGGTTAGCTACCTCATGAAGCTACCAAGCACCACTTTGCTGGGATGGGAGAACATCTCAACACATGAAGAAAGACGACCAATAAGTTGTTACAAATGCCAATGGGTACAGCCATCTGGCGGGGGAGAAGTGTCGTGCTCGGGAGGTCTGTAACACCCGGGCACCAACTGCTTTAGGCAACTGGACAGGGCAACAAGAAATGCACAGCTCGTAGTGGCCCTCACTCCTCCTCCTCCGACCGGGAGTGTCCCAAGTGGAGGGTGGCGAAGTGTTCAGTAATCCCCAAACAAACCAAGGGAGAGAGGATGTTGTTTTGTTGTACCACGTGTTCAACCATTCTATAGTGGCTCAAACTGAAGGTTTAAATGACTCCCATCCTAAAACATGAGCGTAAGTAACAAGCTCATTCAGTAGTTAAATAATAAATAGTTCCTGAGTATAGTGGAGTTTGAAATGACAATTAGAAATAGTTAATATTAGGAATTATTGGTGAAGCAACAGTTATATTGGCAACTTTAGCGAGATGTTCTTGTATGAATTGATGTATTACTCGTGATTCAGTTATTTCCCACACTAATGACTGACGACAAAATATATATGTATCATTTATCTCAATTTATTTTAGTTCTTTATTATTATTATACCTATACTGTGTTATATTTATTTAATATATTTCATAATTTATGGTGTATGGGGTCACCTCTGAGTTGAATAACATCATATGTTGTTAACCATATATTAAAAGTGAAAGTGTATTACGTGTTTTGTGATCTATAATAAATAAAACATTTGTACCTGTAACTGTTTATATAATGTGTTTCTTTGGTCCATTACTGTTGAACTATCTGTCTATTGTGTGAGTATCAAGGGGTAATAAGAAGGAACTGTTATCTTAGAGGTTGAGACAGACTCTCTCTATTATGAGTACCGCATCAGAGGCTGAAGAGAAAAATTAAGGCTCATGGTATCGAGGGGAAAGTTTTAAATTGGATAAAATCATGGCTCACCGATAGAACGCAGAGGGTCAGCGTAGATGGTGTTAACTCTGAGTGGGGCCGTGCAACCAGTGGGGTTCCCCAGGGGTCAGTACTAGGCCCACTCTTGTTCATAATCTACATAAACGATCTAGATACTGGGATCAGCAGTGACATAAGCAAGTTTGCGAATGACACCAAAATAGGGCGGCAAATTAATTCAGGGCAGGATGCAGATGCATTACAGGAGGATCTAAATAAACTGCAGGGGTGGTCTGAAAAATGGCAAATGAAATTCAACACCAGCAAGTGCAGCGTACTTAATATTGGAAGAACAAATACTGATAATGTATACAGCCTTAACAACATCAACCTAGAGAAGTCGACTTGTGAAAGAGACCTAGGGTACTTGTAAGCCCGGACCTACGGCCTAGAAAACAGTGCGTTAATGTTCGAAATAAGGCAAACAGAGTATTGGGTTTTATATCTAGAAGTGTAAGTAACAAGAGTGCAGAGGTCTTATTGCAACTATATCTTGCGCTAGTCAGGCCGCACCTCGATTATGCGGTTCAGTTCTGGTGCCCCTATTATAGAATGGATATCAATTCACTAGAGTCGGTGCAGCGAAGAATGACGAAAATGATTCCGGGACTTAAAACCTTCCATATCAGGATAGGTTAAAGAAACTTAACTTGCATTCCCTAGAAAGACGAAGAGTGCGGGGAGATATGATAGAAGTATTTAAGTGGGTGAAAGGAATCAATAAAGGGGATATAGATAAAGTTCTTATAATATCTGAGCAGGATAGGACTCGGAGCAACGGATTCAAGTTGGATAAGTTTAGGTTTAGGAGGGAGATAGGAAGAAACTGGTTCACAAATAGGGTGGTGGACGAGTGGAACAAGCTTAGCAACTTTGTAGTAAGTGCTGGAACGCTGGAAAGTTTTAAAAGGAGGCTGGATAGATTCATGGATGATGGAGAGTGGTAGTAACTCGACAGGAGCTGCCATGCACAGGCCAACCGGCCTATTGCAGACTCCTTATGTTCTTACTGATGGGTGAGGAGAAAGACGTAGAGATAAAGAGAATTATAAAGACAGAGAGAGGAAGACAAAGTAAAAGAGAGGAAGACAAAGTAAAAGAGAGGAAGGGTAAAGGAAGGTAAATCAGGGGTCTTATAAGAAGGTCGTTCAGATATCTAGACGGTCCGTCCCTCGTGACGATCTTCAGGAGTGAAGTGCTTCCCCATCTGGAGTACTGTCACCCCATCTGGTCCCCGAGATATGCTAGGGACTGTCAGTTGGTTGAAAATGTTCAAAGGAGGGCCACCAGACTGGTGCCTGCACTTCGGCACCTCAGCTAACCTGAGAGATTGGAGCGCCTGAACTTGCCTAGCTTATACTACAGACGGGCAAGGGGGACCTAGTTGAGGTGTATAAGCATCTCAGGGGGCACTACTCAGTTGAGTATCCTTACTTGGAGCTGGCGGACGCTCGCCCCACAAGGGGTCACAGCTCAAGATTGAAGAAGCCGCAAGTCCAGAAAACTGTGAAGGCAAACTTTTTCGGAGTGAGGGTTGTAAACTCTTGGAACAATCTACCAGAGAGTGTTGTGACGGCACCGAGTGTGAGCTGTAAACTCTTGGAACAATCTACCTGAGAGTGTTGTGACGGCACCGAGTGTGAGCTGTAAACTCTTGGAACAATCTACCAGAGAGTGTTGTGACGGCACCGAGTGTGAGCTGTAAACTCTTGGAACAATCTACCAGAGAGTGTTGTGACGGCACCGAGTGTGAGCTGTGGAACAATCTACCTGTGGAACAATCTACCAGAGAGTGTTGTGACGGCACCGAGTGTGAGCTGTAAACTCTTGGAACAATCTACCAGAGAGTGTTGCGACGGCACCGAGTGTGAGCTCTTTCAAGAGAAGACTTGACCAACACTGGAGCGGGTTCAGGTACATTCAGGAGCCGGTGCATGCCCAGTATTTGCCAACAGTGCGTGACAGAGACGTGACCGATCGCCCGGGCGGCTAGCGAGCCGATCAGTGGCGAGGAGGATAAAATTAAAGAAAAAACAAATCTTATCTCTGGAAAAGTAACTTAAGCCTGATGCTTGTCTTATCAGTATATGGCCTAAGACATGAGATAAGGAAGGAGAGGAATATGAAGAGAGAATGAAGCTTAATAAATAGAGACGGAAAGGAAGGAACAAATATATAAAATAAAGAAAATTAAGGAAATATATAGTAAGACAAGTTTTTTTAAGTATAACAATAATGCCAAGATGTACGATATGCTTGTATCTTATCTGTAGTGAATGTTTAAAATTACACCACGAACATATCAAAATATATTCAAATAATAATAAACCAATTAAGTTAGATTTGATGTATATAAATAACTAAATAATTAAATAAAGTTTATTATATTAGGTTTATTATATTTTTAATTATTATTGTTGATTTATATTGAGGAAAAATATACTAGAAATTATTTTATTCGATTGTGGTAATTCGGGCAACACTGACTATCGCCATCATCACAACACAAGCACAGGTGACGAGGAACAAGACGAGAGACAACTTCCCAAATAAATGTGTAATATTATCCTCCAGAGACTTGAAGACCGCCGAGTATATGACACAAGACACACGCCATAATACAACTACCATGTGAGTATAATAATTCCCTTAATTTATGTCTTAATGGAGGAATAACAGCCTTAAATATACGTCCATCAGATACCCAAGACAATGAGTCAATTTTGATATTTTTCAAGATTAATTTATATTCTTTATTTTAAGACATTTTTCGACATATTTTCTGTAATTTATCAGAACAACAATATAACCAGAAGGAGTTGTTTGATTTGGGTCATATTTTCCTTCGTATATTCTTATCAGTATAATAAGTATTTTAAAACACGACAAATTTATATTTTAATTATTATTTTTTGTTAGTATTTTTATATAAGACCATAAGTCACCTATAGTGGGCAGGTCATGAAGGCTGGGGGAATCACGGTGAAATAACTGAACATATGACACTAAAATGGTGTCTGTATTTGTTTTATTCTGATCTGTTGGTTTATTAGGACGTTTGGTTAGGTTAGGTTACATTCTTGGGTTGGTTTGGTTAGGTTAAGTTAGATACTCACAGATGATCTAGGAGAGGCTCACAGCTCCAGCTCAGTAGCCTCTTCTCTACTCAGACGGTGGCTGTGTGTGGCGGATAATTGTGCCCTATAATTATATACCTGTTGTTGATTTTTCCAGTATTTATCTAATTTTGCTTCAAACTTTTCCACATTCACTACCCACTCAGGTAAGCCATTCCAGTTGTTGACGACCCTACTCGTGAACGAATGTCTTCTGAGATTTAGCCTCTTCTTTGTGTTCCCCCGGGTAGTGTCATCTGGAACATTCCTGCTGTACATGCCTGGTCTTATATGCCACACACTATCTTGTATGTTTCCACTTGGTCCCCATGAGATCTTCTGTACGTCAGTGTCGGTAACTGTAATTTCCTTAGTCTTTCCTCATAAGATAAATCCTTGATCTGTGGTACTAGTTTGGTAGCCCTCCTCGGTACATTCTCTACTGCTTCAATATCCTTAATGAGATATGGGCACCAAATTTGATTAGCATACTCAAGGTGTGGCCTAACCAGAGCAGTGTACAGAACCTTGAATACAGGTGCATCCAGATGAACAAACGTTCTTCTAATAATGCCCACTATTTTATTAGCCTTGTTGATTTTCTCAGCTAGATGGTCAGAAAACGTCAGCTTATCATCGATGACTACCCCTATATCCTTCTCTACAGAGGTCTTCTTGATCGTGGTGTACATATGATATCCATGGTCAGCAACTTTTGTTCTTCCTATCCTCAATAATCGAACCTGGGTCCACTGGAATATATATATAAGCACGTACATAAACACTAGACCCTAGACTAAACATAATCATTCTCCCGGCAGTAACAGACAGCGTGGAGAAGCCTCATAGATCACGAGAGGACCGTACAGGCGGGCGGCTTCGACAACATCCCCCCCCCTTCTTTCCCCCCCCCCCCCCCCACCTACCGGATAAACAATGACCACTACGGCATTCTCCCACGAGCCGGGCACAGCTATGGAGTGTCTGAGTATACCAATCACACTCGAGAAAGAGGCGGGACTTGACGAACACGGCAGACAGGTGAGTCAGTGTGTCTTGAGTGTGTCTTTGAGTGTGTAGGTGTAGGTCATGTTTTGCTTCATTCGTCACAATTGGTAATGGTGAAATGATGATAATGATAATAATAATAATAATGATGATGATGATAACCATTCCATATTCTAGGTCCTCAAATGTGGTTTTAAAATTGGTGGAGGAATTGACCAGGATTTTATGAAGAGTCCTCAAGGCTACACAGACAATGGTATCTACTGTACTGAGGTGAGCACAGTACAGCACAGTATGGCACAGCATAGTACAGTACAGTATGGCACAGTATAGTATGGCACAGTATAGTACAGAATAGAACAGAACAGCACAGTACATTATGGCACAGTACAGCACAGTGCAGTACCCTAACCTAACCATGTGTAGGATTTAGGATTTTTCAGAAGGGGAAGGATTACAGGCAGGTATTTTTCACAGGATTTTACGAGATCAGGTCAAGGTGTTGGATCATCAGGTGAAGTAAAGTGGGGTGTCCGATCTTTCTAAATATCAAACTGTTCTCAATGTAATAATGTCAGTAGTAATTAATTTGTCAACGTTCTTTCAATATTTGTGTATGTTGTGATGACCTTATATACTGGGTTTTAAATATAATGGTGATTATTAACAGCAGTAGAGATATATAATTTGAGGTATAGACGTCCAGATTTTTTCGAGGGTAAATTTCATGTAAAAATCCTCGAAAATCTGACCAAAAGATGGATTACCCTATAGAAGTCGTCCCTAGTTTACGAAAATCCAAAGATACAAAAGAAAAAATCCCATATTTATTTACGTAAACGATATTTTTTATGATTTTTTTTTATTTTTGACAATATTGAACGACCTTTGGCATTTCTGTACTGGATATAGTCAATTATGAATACAATACACAAACCATACACTAAGTACAATACCCCACCTGTGCTGTATAAATTAAGTAAGATAAGAGTGTTTAGGTCGTTAGATGAGACAGAAACAAGGCTATTAAGTGTTTCAATGTCTGGTAGGGTGTTAATGGAGAGAACACATTACTGGATAACGCATTAGATCAAAAACTTTTATATATTAAGGGAAAATATCTAACTGGATGTACAGGGTGACCCAACATGAGAGCTTAGTGTAATCATTTATGGACACCCTGTATATGGAGCAATGGATTGAGGTCCCTTCATGAACCCAAAAGATTCAGACTTATGAACCCGGGATGATGAACTGATGCGGTGTTGTGTCCATAAAGGTTCCCGATTCGTGAGTGTGGGTCTCGGGGTTCGTGGTTCAGGAGTGGACGTGACGAGAGGAGTTTTGGGGTCGACTTGTCTGGGTCTTTCACTCCGCCTGACGATCATTGCCGCAGTAGTTGAGGTTAAAGACAGACGGCAATAGTTAAGGTGATAGGTTAAGGTTACGAGGCAATAGTTAAGACGTAAACATTGACCAGGTCGTTAAGGTTCTGACAAAGGGTTTACACACTCCTTTAGGTCCACGACGGGAGCGCAGCGGCACGAGCCGGCCTGCGCGTACACGACAAGATCCTACAGTGCAACGGCTACGACTTCACCATGGTCACACACAAGAAGGCCGTCGACTACATCAAGAAACATCCCGTCCTAAACCTTCTGGTGGCCCGTAAAGGCGTCACGCACTCGTAAATCACCCCCCACCCTCCCCGGAGACCCCCCCATCGTGTGTTTATCATCACCATATATTCGTTATGTTATTAATCAAGAGATCGGGTTTTTTTTTATATATATAAATGACAGAATATTTAAGAGACCTCTGGTGGGAATTACCGCCAGTTAATTGTTGTTGTTGTGTAAATTAATAAATTCTTCGTTTATTGACATTCCAATTTGGTGTTATTTATGTAGTCGTCTTGATGGTGATCTTTCTGCTCTTCTGTGCCGTGAGCTGACGACAGTTTACAGATACCCTGGGAGAGATCACGAACAACATAGTAAATATTATGATTAACCAAGATTAGAAACTGTATAATAATGCTTTATTGAGTTAATATGGCTGCCATGTTGAGTAAATATAGCTGCCATGTTGAGTTAATATGGCCACCATGCTGAGTTAATATGGCCACCATGCTGAGTTAATATGGCCACCATGCTGAGTTAATATGGCCACCATGCTGAGTTAATATGGCCACCATGCTGAGTTAATATGGCCACCATGCTGAGTTAATATGGCCGCCATGATAACAGCATAATCCACTTGAGACTAAATATGGCCATAAACACTACAGCCACTAAACATTGAGGCCGGGCCATTCCCAAACAGTCCTGGCTCTTCCACCTGGCCATGTGTGATATTTTCCTTTGATTCGTAGTAAAGATAAATTGTTGGCAGCTTAATTTTTTTTTCTGTGCTTTTATAATGTTTGTGAGGGCCGTGTTGGTGGCCGTGTTGAGGGCCGTGTTGAGGGCTGTGTTGGTGGCCGTGTTGGTGGCCGTGTTGAGGGCCGTGTTGGTGGCCGCCTTAGTGTATATTGGGAGCACATGATGATTAACCCCCCCTGGCTTATTTCACCTTGAAACAATGTATCCTAACCTAACCTAACTTAACCTAATCTAACAGTAACTTAACCTATTATAACCTGTTGCTAACTTAACCTATCCTAACAGTAACTTAACCTAATCTAACAGTAACTTAACCTATCATAACCTATTGGTAACTTAACCTATCCTAACGGTAACTTAACTTAACCTTTTGGTAACCTAACCTAATTTAACCTAACCTTTTAAGATAATATTAATGCATTTTGTTCCACAGGTGAAATAAACAAGTGGGGTGTCTAATCTTCACATAAGCCATCGACATGTTAAGTTAAATAGTTACGGCGTCCCCTAGCAATGCAGTATTAACTAAAGGGTCGTTGAGTAATTACCCCCCGATGTCCGTGTATATAAACCGGACACCGGGAATGTATATATATATAAATGCCCAAATATGATAGGAATTAGAGGAAGATATACATGGTTTGTTTATTTGATTGTGTGATGTGTTTTTTTTATATCTCTGGGGACATATAGAGCGACAGGAAGCATATAATTGTTTTTGTCTTTTAACGTTCTTCAGTTGTTGTTGGGATGTAATAATATATAGGTTTATTTGTCTCATTGATTCATTTCACGAGTTTTTTTTTTTTTATGTCCATCGGCCATTGTGACGGTTGTTATTTGTGCTCTCGGAGACGTCTAAGAGCCATGATATTGAAGCCATTTACTGTACCTCTCGGAGACGTCTAAGAGCCATGATATTGAAGCCATTTACTGTACCTCTCATCATTATGTCCTGGGTTCATGTCCTGGCCCGAGACACACATGAGTGGGGTGTTAGCCAGTATGACCCTAACTATCAAACTATGGGTACAATACTCAAGTTTCCTCTTGTTATAACACTGGACAAAGCATCAACGACCAGACTAACTGCTAGACCACAATAAACTGATTAATAGTAAATTACAAAAACAGCTTTCCACTTGTGTTTTAGATTTTCATGTTAACTTCTCAAACACCGAACATTATTATGAATTGTGTATTACCCATAATGCCCTGAAGGTAAATATGTTTTATACATTAGTTTATTGATATGAATGACGGCGATCGAGTCGTCAGTCGAATAATATATTTAATGGCGGATATTCTGGCGTTGTTGATGTCTGCGGAGAAGGTTGCTCGTGGTGCTTTTCTCGGCTTGGAGAGGATGGTGTATACTAGGGTCGGGGGCTTATTATCATACGCCACATCATGTTGAATCATACGGCTTAACGTTGTATGTTTAGGTTAAGATTTTTCATTCACGTTATCATACATTGGGTCATGTTAAATGTTGAATCATACGGTTTTATGTTGTATGTTTAGGTTCAGACTTATCATACAGCTCATGTTAAATGTTGAATCATACGGCTTAATGTTGTATGTTTAGGTTAAGATGTTAAATCATGTTATCATTCAGTGCATCATGTTGAATGTTGTATCATGCAGCTTGTTCTCTGCAGCTCGCCTCATTCTATCATTCTTGGTTTAGGTTAGGTTTAGGTTTAATTTATTCCCACCTGAAGATTAAACGCACCAGGTTAATCATATTTAACCTCAACTTAACCTAACCATAATCTAACCTAACCTAATCACACATTTCAGCCATTCTGCTTGTCACAAATTTCCAGTGTGTGAATAAATTGGGAACCTTTTCCTTGTTAACCCCTTGTGTATGATGACTTAACCCCTTGTGTATGATGATTTACCCCCCTTGTGTATGATGATTTAACCCCCTTGTGTATGATGATTTAACCCCCTTGTGTATGATGATTTAACCCCCTTGAGTATGATGATTTAACCCCTTGTGTATGATGATTTAACCCCTTGAGTATGATGATTTAACCCCTTGTGTATGATGATTTAACCCCCTTGTGTATGATGATTTAACCCCTTGTGTATGATGATTTAAGAGGTTAAGTAATTGCTTAAAGGGTTAAATCATCCTACTCAAAGAGGTTAAATCATCGTAAACAGCTCTGATTTAGCGAGTGAGAGACACAGACGGACAGACACCTCAGCCATCCAACAGACAGACACAAAAATCTATACTAATTATGCCATTTTGACAATTATGATTATGCCAGGGTTTATTATCCTTCTGTAATACTTCATTAATAAACGGCAAAAAAAAGTGGGTTGTATATTTTCCACCAAGACCACAGTTAAGTGGTGGTTATTTAATGATTTGTAATGAATAAGTGAAAGGAAATGAAGAGTAAGTGGTAATAAGTGAAGGGAATGGATAATAAGTGGTAATAATGAAGGGATTGCTTGTGTAATGTATATTAAGTGTAGATAATGGTTAATAAGTGGTGTTTAAAGACTTCGTACAAACGCACTCACACGTATCCACTCAAACACGTATATATTCACCCAAACACACACTTATTTATCTACCCACACAGACACCCGCCTAAACATACACACACACACACACATCCAAACACAATAAAACAAAACAATATGGAAAAAGAGATTTTATTTTAATATCATTCTATACAAATATCAATGTCTTATATTACTAAATTCTACACACTCTCTAATATATTCCCCCCCCCTCCCAACCCTGCCCTCGAAAAAAACAAAATTATGTAAACAAAATCTAAATTACTTAATATATAATAAGTACTGTTTCATATTACACATTATTGACTGTTTTTTTCCACATCTCAATTGTCTCGATGCGTTTTAAAACCGTCATGTAAAAAATATATATATATACTGTATGTACAAAGTCTTTTACGGCTCGTGTGATAATTAGACACTAGTAGTTTATTTTTTGCCTGAAAATTGGGACGCACCTTATGTCACCTGGGGTCTGGTTAGATTGGGTTAGGTTAGGTTAGTTTACGTTGGGTTAAGTTACGTTACATTGGGTCGGGTTACGGTGTTCAATCATAAGGTTGCAATAAACTAGGGTGTCTAATCTTCACATGATCCTAATTTTTCCGATGAATAAATAAACACAAGATAAAACTGAACAATCCTTCCGTGGACAGTCATTTAAGTAACCATAAAACAACTCAATTAATTAAGTCAGTATTAGTAGCTTATATAAACCTAGTACCTATTAAATGAGTGGTGTAGTCAAGATTATATTGGCAGTGTTAACCTTTGTCGCTCACCTGAAGATTAACCCCCAAGTGCTCACCTGTAGATTAACCCCCAAGTGCTCACCTGAAGATTAACCCCCAAGTGCTCACCTGAAGATTAACCCCCAAGTGTTCACCTGTAGATTAACCCTCAAGTGCTCACCTCAAACTCCCCCAAGCTTTACGACCCTCAAACTATCTGGGTGGGGAAGGGGGGGGGGGTGGCTAATGCTCAGGTGATTCACAGAGGCTAAAGCCGCCAACGGCATCGTTAGTGACCTCGACTACCTCACTGCCGTTTATTTACCTACAAAAGAAAACCAAAAGAGAACATGCTTCGAAATGCCTGGGTTTGTTTACATGGCGACCGAAAGAAAAACCCCCCCGAACTGCAAAGCGTTTAGAAAAAAGTTCTTCACGTGACTTAAAAGACAATATTCTTTATCAAGGCTCGACACCTCCACCACATAACACCTTTACCACCAACGAGCTTTAAAACAAACTTACTCTTTCCGCTAGTCGCGTTTGTCGACATTCCGAAATAGCAAGTCGGGGAAAAATTTTTATTTCTACACCAAAGACGAAATTCATGTTTGTAAATTTCATTCCATTTGGGGAAGGAGGAAATATATTCCTTTTTTTAAGTGTGAAATTGATCTATACAAACACTCCATCACGCACGATGATAAACAAAATCTCACTGTCTTCAACAAACTCAAAATTGAACCCCCCCCCCCACAAAAAAAAATTCCAAAAATACAAAAAAAACAACTCAAACATTACAAGACAGAAAATAAGAACTTGATCCAACTCTTGTCAAAATGAATCATCTTTCATAACTTTGTACCGTACAAATGTGGAATGACGCGTCGATGAATCATGCAAACTTGGTTTTTTGTATTTTTTTTTGTTTTTTATCTAAGTACAAGACAGTACGACTATGACTAGATGATACATACAGAGTATTCTTATGACTAGCTATTGCTCACGGGGCCACTGCAGAGTATATGGCTGCACAGTGATGGCTAAGAGTATGATGGGGGTTATCACATGCGGTACGACGTCTTATTAGACCGCTCTAGATATTCCTCCGTAAACCTCTATCACAATATAGTCTTCGCGAACAGTGTGATACGGCCGTCAGATTATATAACGGGCGGTGGTTTGGGAATTTGGCGGCGACGTCGGTCTTGTGGGATGATCGACGATGACGATGTTTTTTTTCGCGACCGTCGTACGTAGGCCGTCCACTCTCTCTCTCTCTCTCTCTCTCTGGACCGCCGCGTCCCTTTCACAAATTCCAAAGCTCGATACATTGTACAAAGACGAACAATTCATCTCGAACTCAAACGGGAAAACTACAGCAATGAGCGACGCCTCACAACGACGAGAGCGGTGGTCGGCCACGGCAGATCTCCATAACGGGATTATTAAGCCATCACTAACATACCCCAAGGTCACTGCAAGGGGCGTCAATAAATCTAGTCGCACGTAGAAAATAATCATATTCTTTGAGACATCTTTTAAGACACACACACACACACAGGGAGTCAATTTAATCTCCGTAAATAACGATATTTGACGAGGAGCAATCTTCTGTGTTTAAAAAAAAAATCCTGCCCCCATGACATCTAGCAGCACAAAATCTAACCCCAAATAATAAACAAAACTATGAAATATCACCAAAAATAACCCAAAATATATATATTACTTTACATACTTTCACCTCTTGTATAATATAAAAGTCCGGTGAAACTTTTGTGGCAGTTAAAGGGCGTTCGAAGGTTGAGTGAGTTAGTTAGTGGATCACAGAGCAACGCCCATGACCATTTGGTTACGTTAAAGTTAGCTTATATCTGGAGTGGTTAGGTTAGGGGTGGTTTAAATTGGGTTTAATAAGGGGGTAGTTTAAATTAGGTTAGATAAGGGGTAGGTTAAATTAGGTTAGTTTAGGGGTACTGTATGTCAAATTAGGTTAGATGTACGTTAATTATGGATACATTTAATTAGGTCAGGGGTACGATAAATTAATTGACAACGGCTCTAATTGTCGGAGTTAGGAATCAACAAACACTAACACAATTACCCAAAAAAAATCATATTGTCTTTTGAAACGTTTAATACAAAGGTTTTTTTAAATAATGACACAAATGTGTTGAAAAACGCTGAAAATGGTCATCGTCTTCGGAAAAATATCGTATATAGGATATTTTGTATTATTTTGATATCGATCGGTTTTGAGTTTAAAAAAAAACTTGTATCGGTAACTTTGAAGACTTATCGGCGGTTTACAAGATATGAGAACAAAGTAAAACTCGAAAAGTTTTATTTACAAACTACTGTATATGAGAAATATACAAGTTTACTATACGTACGTTCCTATTAAGACATGGAAATACCACTCTGTTTCCCTCGATATATTTTGCACCATAGCCTAACCAACCTAACCTGACCTAAACTTTCTTTCGTGTTTTTACAAAGTTGCCGGAACAAACGTTACATTTTTAACATTGTCCAAGAAGAAAAAGTTTGAAGGGGACTGAATGGGTTAGCTCAGGAATGGGTGGATGGGTTACCTAAGGGCCCACACAACTGCCCACATGTAACAGGATACTATATATGCAATGAACTTTAATCAATGGTGTCTCAGAAAAATTTAGTCTCATTACAAATACATCTCGCACTTTTAGTATTGTTTTAAAACGTCAATAAGACCATGAGCCATCCACCGCTGTGAGAACACTGCTGTACACGGTGGAATTATTGTTTATTACCCAGTGGAATACTTTTATACTCTGGACAGACTCGTGAAAAATGTAGTCTAAATCAATTACGGAGACAAAATCGACAAAATGCAATTAAAAAAGTATTATTACTGTTGTTTAAATCATTAATGAGAAAATAACAACAGAATACAGCTAAAAAGTATTAAATAACAAGAGAAATTTATATAAAAATTAAAAACACTCTGATTTTAAAACTCAAATGATGAATTATGTTGTTTTTAATGTCTAGTAGGAATTATCTGTACAAAGTTTTGACTTTTATCACTAAAATTCATTATATTATTAATAAATAATAACCCTAGTCTCTCCCCCACACACCACCCAAAAATGTCTTATTTCTCGTAACATATTGTTATGATTCATTATATAAGTATTTTATAGTATGATAATGTCATGTGCACGACACACTGCCAGGGTATACAGTAGTGTCATGTGCACGACACACTGCCAGGGTATACAGTAGTGTCATGTGCACGACACACTGCCAGGGTATACAGTAGTGTCATGTGCACGACACACTGCCAGGGTATACAGTTGTGTCATGTGCACGACACACTGCCAGGGTATACAGTAGTGTCATGTGCACGACACACTGCCAGGGTATACAATAGTGTCATGTGCACGACACACTGCCAGGGTATACAGTAGTGTCATGTGCACGACACACTGCCAGGGTATACAGTAGTGTCATGTGCACGACACACTGCCAGGGTATACAGTAGTGTCATGTGCACGACACACCTTTAGTACTGTGTAACCGACCAATCAAACGCCCCCGTCTGCTTCTGATCAATGCACCGAAGTGAATTATCCCGTCCGTGTGGTCCGATTCACCAAAGAAACGGCATCTGTACGTTTGCATCGCAGGAAAGGCGTACAGTAGTCATCATAACATCGACTAAAAATTAAGAGAAATGGTTCCGTTACGTGGAGGAGCCAGGGCACTGACTGTGTGTTGATCCGTCGTCACCCTAACGACCGATCTGTATATGTGAGCTGTCCCGGTCGTTAGGTGCGAAACGACAGCGTCCGGGACACAATTGACCGATCGGTTCACAAACACCCTCCCCCCCCCATATTGAAGCTTATATACATATTTAATAAGGTCACGTTTATATTACATTACACGTCTATCATCTCTCTGCTGCCTTGGGTCACGACTCATTCATTACAAGGTTAAAAAATATTCTCAAGAGCCGGTCGGTCGGGCACCCCATACCGGACGTCTCTTTAAGTTCGGAGATCTTCCCAGACTCGGTGCAGATCGGGCCAGAGAGTCGTCGACAGACCGAGTCGTATAAGTCGAGCGAATTTGTGCGAGGGACGTGATAGTGGGTTCGTGTGGCGCAGCAACGGTAAACCAAATGGGGAATAACGACCGTAAAAACACACACAATAAAACGACAACGATGGAAGGAAAAAACATTACCTCGACATAATAAGACTTTGAACTATTTTAATATCACAATTCTGTACAATATTCGGCTTTAGGACAATTCTGAAAGGTTGGGATTCTGGCGTGACTCTCTGACCCGACTGATTACGAACCCAAGAAATGAGCGACTTTAACGAGGGTAAAAACACACACACACATATAAGACACCAGAGAGATAATAAGCTAGTGACTGGCAGGTATGGGGTTAAACCGACAACCTAAAAGTACACCGTAAACATGGACTCGGAAAAATGTACATTCCGACTTGGGGAGATTTTTCGTGTCGATCAAAAAGATGATTGTGGGAACATTGTCCACGGGTGACAGATCAATAAGCAGAGACAATACTGTACATCGGAACAAAAACACTGTCCTCGTACACAAAAAGACAATATTGCCGTTGTAATCAAAACATTCATGCGATCAACACACAAAACCCCCAGTTGGCACATGAACAATTCCCCCGAGACAGCGAGTGTTTAGATGGCATTGCATAATAAAACTTAGATCTGTCACTAGTATACAATAGATCTGTCACTAGAATACAATAGTAACAAGATAACTACTGAATTGTGTCCCTGTGATCAAATTACCAACAACGTTAAACCCCCCATAAAATAATCGTCCCCATGTTGGCCAGCCGACCCGACCTGGATTCTGACCGATGTGTTTATGGTCCTTCTCCCTCATAGCCGGAGATCGGAAAACACATCAGCTTAGGGTATAATCTCGGAGGTTATTTTGCACAGTACCGGGTCTTGGTGACTTTAAATACGTTTGTCTTGGGTTAAATAACTTATCACCGTCCATTAAGGGAGAATATTAAGTGCGTGTGGAGCGCTTACTAGACCAATGAGGTGTGTTTCAAGGTTAAACGAGGTGGTCGGATACGTTCCAAATCTCCAGCTAACGACTGGGAGGGCAATTAACCGCACGATCTTATAAGAATCCACGGCCGAGTTGCTTTAGTATTAATACATCACAAGGGGACACAATTCAGTACATTCAAAGCTGCATTTTTCTTCATCTTATACAAAATAAAAAATTCTTATCAAAATCGACTCACAACTTTTAAACTGTCTTTGAAGAACATGGTTTAGCTAGACACACAAACGAGACACGTCGAGATCCTCGCCGTGTTGACCTTCATGTGTAAACCCCTCCCTCCCTCCCCCCCGACACTTTAAATAAATTCATATCACTTTAAATAAAACGACACTGAAGATCTGGTCTATTTTTTCTTGAACGCCTCGTCGACTATTCCACCGTTGTTCGAGACTTTAATCTTCGCTTAAATAATCTCCTGTGCGTCAAATCTCGACTGGGGTATAATTTCAGAGTACTGTATTAAAATATCAACAACACACTACAGAAGTCACTTACAAAATCCAACAGTTAAGAGTCAAGTTAAGAAGATTTATAAATAGTTAGGATTATAAATAACATCTAGGGCATTACCAGCTTAGGGCAGCGGTTCTTGTAGTCACCTGAAGACAACGCAACTCAGGGTTTACTTGCTTGATAATTAACTATTTCAGTGTTAATATAATGACCCCATGTTGTTATTAATTGAAGATTAAACACCAAAGTTTAACTATACTGTATATGAGTGATGAATTATATACCTACACTGTCTAGGTACACTGTTTGTATATATGCTGAACTATATACTGTTTACACCCACAATGAACCAACCTAAACTCTTGGTGATAATTTTACTGAATAAATATCAACGTGTGAGGAGGTCTAGTTGTTCCCTCCAGTGAGACACATAACACAAGTGAGAGACGCAACACAAGTGAGAGACCCAACACAAGTGAGAGACCCAACACAAGTGAGAGACTCAACACAAGTGAGACGCAACACAAGTGAGAGACCCAACACAAGTGAGAGACTCAACACAAGTGATGTAGAAGCAACACAAGACCTTCACTGCTCTGGTTGACCCTCTGAACAAATGAATAATACTCACATTAATAACAGAACATTGGTACAGTGTTTGTTGTTAAGCCGTTGGTACAGTACATTATATATTGTCTGTTAAATACGAAACTATAAAAATATTTCTTATAATGCTAGAGTGAACTTTACCCCTTCATCGTCCCTAATACACTTTATGGCGCCACCGCTCACTTGGTGTGGATCTTCCGGTGTTTTTTCATGTGGTCTCTCCTGGCGAAGGCCTTCCCGCAGAAGTCGCAGACGTAGGGTTTCTCCCCGGTGTGGTACCTGAGGTGGACGGTCAGCTTGTACCCGGCCTTGAACTCCTTGGCGCAGTACTCGCAGGTGTAGATGCCGTCGGACTTCATCACTTTGGTCTTCTTGGCCTTGGGTTTGGGGGCGACCGGCGCCGCCTGGTGGACGGTCTCCCCGCCCGGGTGCTGGTACACCTCCGTGCAGTAGGGAATGTGTTTGGACTTTTGGTGTATGCGGAGGACGTCCGAGCGACTGAAGCGGTCGCCGCAGAAGCACACGTAGGGCTTCTCCCCCGTGTGGGTGCGCAGGTGTCGCGACAGTTTGTAGATGGAGCCAAACACCTTCTGGCAGATGTTGCACTCCTGTTTGTTGACGTCGTCGAAGGTCTGGCTGTTGAGCTGGTCGCTGTTTTCCGCCGGCTCCTCCTTTATGTTGAGGATGTCTTCGCTCTTCACCTGGATGCCCACGTCCGTACGCTGCTTCTGGACGATGCCGGTCTCTTGGATCTTCACGGAAGTCCCGATCTGTTTGTTATTTTTGGCCTCGAGCAGCATGGCGCGGCGGACTTCTGGGTTGATCTTGTGCTTTAGGGCGTGGATCTTGAGGTGGTCGCTGCGGGCGAATCTCTTGCCGCAGAAGCAGGCGTAGGGCTTCTCCCCGGTGTGCGTGCGGCGGTGGAGGGTGAGCTTGTCAGAGCGGGAGAAGGACTTGGTGCAGATCTCGCACAGGTGACGTTTCCCCTGATCCTGGCCGACGGGGCGTTTGGTCTGATCCTGATTTGCCTTGATCGTGGGCAGGACCTTGGGCATCGCCGGCGTACGTACGGGCACCTGACCCGCGGCGAGAGGAGCGGCCATCGGGTACGTCTTGAACACCTGCGGCTCACCTGCCACCACACAATGAAACAGATGATTAAAACAAGACCAAAGATACAACACTAATTTTCACCACAAACACTTGACACATTACCCAAAACTTGTTTCACCTGAAGATTAACCACCCTGACCTCACACATTAAAGTTGGTCAGATCAAGCTTACAAATGGTTGTTTAATCAGGTGAAATAAACCAGGATGTCTAAGTTAAACAAAAACTCGTCTAACATCTGTCAAATAAAATGGTAAAGGCGTCGTCCCTGTAGTTAAAGGGTCAATGAGGTCAAATGAGCTGGTAATAGGTGGAGGGATGGGTATTTAAAAGGGTCAATGAGGTCAAATAAGCTGTTAGTAGGGGGGTGGGGTTATAAGCTTGACATGATCCCTCTATAGTGAACCCGTACTCACCCATAGTGTTGTTGGGGTTATGAGAGACCAGCGACATTATACTGAAGTCGGTGTCTCTGGACGGCGCCGCGGCTAGTGTGTCCCCGACCCCAAAGACACTATGTTGCATCACCTGACTCGCTTGTGGGGGCTGTTTACCCTCCTGAAGCGCCAGACTGTCCTCCTCCGACATGTAAATACTGAGAAACTGGGCAATGTCTGGGAGTTCCGTCGAAGGCTGGGGCAGTGTCAGGGATCCGATGTCGGTGTCCATATTGGCTGTCGGTATAGGCCTGAGGGAGAGGGGCAACGGTTAACTTGATGGAGGTAAACGTAATCATCGTCCACACACACTACCGACCACCTCATGATTAGACACCCTAGTTTATTTGATATATACGGTGTTTTAGTTAGATTAGGGTAAGTTAGATTAACATTTGCAGGGTTTAGTTAGATTAGGAGAAGTTAGATTAACACTATGGTGATTAAGTTAGGTTGAATTAATATGAGGGAGATTAGCTTAGCATTAGAATGATTAACTTATGTTAGATTAAGGGGTGGTTTAGGGTAGGGGGGGGTGACCCAATCTCCTCATGCTTTTAAAATTACCTCACGTAGAGAACTTTCCTCCTCACATAAATAATTACTCCTACGTGTTTTCCTTATCTCAAAAAGCTTATCTTCTACGACGTGTTAAGGAATTGGCAGGACGTCCGCTGATAAGATAACCCCGACGAGACAGTTAGGTGGAAATCCTGTTACAGTATCCTTCAATGACGTTGGGGGTAGTTTAAGAGTATATGGACGTCCTGATGATTAGACACCCCTAGTGCTATCTTGGGGGTGGAGGGTTAGTGTTGGGGTAAGGAAAGTTAGGGTGTTTTAACTTAGTGTTAGGTTAGTATAAGGGTAGGTTAGGTTAGGTTTGAGAGAATAATCTAGCCTTCAATAGTAATTAAGTCACTGCTGGTCACAAACGGTACAGCATGACCCAAAAGTTTCCTATAGTGAAGATGTTTTGGGAGAGGGAGTAACATTTATTTTACCTGGAGTAACCTACCTTAACCCAACACTAACCCAACCTACCCTAACCTAACACCAACCTAACCTAACCAACATGAGAGAGGTTAATCTCCAGGTTAAATTCGCTGGGGTGGTTATTCTTCATCTCCCTAATAGAGAACTACCATACTAACCTAACCTAACCATAACTCCCTGATCTCTGAGATATTTACACACGATAATAAGGTAATTAACGCTTAATAACAGGTAATTATGACTTATTAACAGGTAAGATAAGGTAATAAATGGTCTATAACGTCTATAATACCAATAACCATTTAACAACCTTCTAAGATCACCTAGATGATTATAATAACACTAATATATCTCGTTATCAGGTAATTAGGGTATATTAATGAGGTAATCACCATAAGGGTTTAATTAGGTGGTTAACTAGCAATAAATACTGTAATGACTTTGTTAGTGTTGTTTCAGCTGCCCCCAGGCCACAACACTCCCCCATCTTCTCTCACACTTTAACCTACTTTATACCTCACTTAAACACTTATATCCTCACTATTAGTATACCTGGTGGTTTAATCTAGCTCCTGATACAGCACTTACAAGGCCCAGATGACTGTGAGTGGAGTAAATGGAAGATAAAGTGGGGTAAGTCCTTCACAACATCAAAGGTGTCGCCATTGTTCTTTATAAACAAACTGACGACGCTTGTACTTAAAGGACCATTAATATAAACCATAATATATCCTTCCTATATCGTCTATATTATCTCTATTATATTATTTAATTAACGGTGTTTATTATTATTTAGTTATTAAAGTATTGTGGGGTTATATTATTGATGTATGTGTTATAGTTGTACTTTTATATACTGTAATGTTCTCGTCTATGGAGTATAATGATATATTTACATCCATCGGTAATAGTTATTAATTAATGTAAAAATATAATTATTTAATATTTTAATAAAAGTTATTAGTTAGTGGGAATAATTAGTATAGTTTTTGTTTCTTTCATTATGACAAGGATTCATTACACTCTATATCGACTATAATTCTTGATACTTATACTTAAATAATATTTCATATACTTAAATATAATTAAATAAGTAAAAATAAGTGTTATTTATATATCAATAACATATAATATCTGTAAATATAACAGGAAATATTTATCATCAGACTGCCTGAAGGAACTGCCATGTAACTCAAGGGTAAAACCCGCTGTTGTTCTCACAGTCTGAAAGCTTTATAATATTTATTTTCCTTTTAAATAAATAACCTTATAATGTCTGTATTATATCACGTAAGGAAGGAATAGTAAATGTTTTAGTCATGATAGTATAGTTCGTGATAAATAATATAACATGGTAAATTATGTTTGGTTGATTTAGATTCGTTTTGAAGTGAATAAAAAATAAATTCATTATTTTAATTTAAATCTGGATTAATTATTTTTGGTTAATTATCATATAATTCCCACAAATGATAACAAATAAAATGTTTTAGGTAGATTAATATCCTTGGTACTAGCAGCAGTAACAGGCTAAATTAATTTCAGTTAATTAGTTTAAATTAATATTGGTTGATTTATTACGGTTGATTGTGGTTTAATTCCCTACGGTAAAAAAAAAGTAATAATAACACTTTTAGGCAGACATCACTGTTCGTGGTAATTAAGTCAACAAAAACTAAACTGCGCGGAAGAGGCTGCGCACTATTAGCAGTGATGCCAACCTAGTGTAAGGCCTAGGGTAATTATACTGAAAAGACGTCGCAACTTAGGGTAATTAACGAGTACAAGTCATCAGCCAGGTATTTATCGCTGGTTATTAATTATTTACAGATGGGAAAAAAACTATATATTTCTCACACAGTTAAAAAGACAACTACATTAACCCCTTTATTTATAATGGAGATTAAATGATAGAATAAAAAAAAGAATACTTATTTTGGGAATATTTTGATCAGGTTTAATAAAAGTTGAAGATAAGATAACTTTAAAAACTTACCATACTTAACCAAACTAGTAATTACCCTTATTTATATAATAATTCCAATAATACCCCAAAATATTAATAAATGACCTAAATTAATATCACAGTTCATATATATCTTAAAATAATAATAAAATAATATCCTAATAAATATATATAGTATTTAATTTATAAGTCAAAATATATCGAGGTTTTTTTTAATTGACTCTGGGGTTGACGGCCGTCGAGGGTTGGCAACACTGCTCACTACACGGTCATCGATGAACCAGTCAAAATGGCGTCCAGTGAGACATCCACCGACGACTCTCTTTACCCAATTGCCGTGCTAATAGACGAACTACGGAACGAGGATGTACAGGTACGCGTTCATTAACAATTAAAGATTATTTCTGAGGTGATACAGAGGGATATAAAGGTAATAGGAGAGAGATATAGCGTTATAAATACCTCTTATCTTGGGGGTAAGGAAGTGTCAAAACATTAGAGATTATTATATTATTTTTGACCCCTATATTATCATCTATTTTCTCTATGTTATTTTAATCCTCTCACTTTATATACCAAGTTAATATTAAACCACTAGATAAGTATTTAATATAATATACAAAGTCATTATTTATACGAGAATTTTATATATAAATTTATTAACATGTTAGAAGGGTCTGACTAATTACCCTAATGTAGCCAAATGAAGTCAATTAATGGTCCTATATGAATAAATCGGACTGCTAATCACTTCTCGACTAGTATTTGGTGTCATAAAGTCATAAAAAATTGGTAAACTTAATTTAATCTGAGTTAATAGATCGAGTGGATGTACCTAACCTAACACAACTCAACTCAGATTAAATTAAGTTTACCAATTTTTTTTTACTTTGACACCAAATAATAATCGAGAAGTGATTCACAGCCCGATTTACGCTTGTACGACCATCATTTGACTTCATTGCGGCTACGTTTGGGTAATTCCTCGCTCCCTCGGTACATGCACTTGATCTATTAACTCAGATTAAAGTAAGTTTTCCAATTTTTTGTGACTTTGTGACACCAAATACTAGTCGAGAAGTGATTGGCAGTCCGATTTATTCATCTAGGACCATTAATTGACTTTATTGCGGCTACATTTGGGTAATTAGTCGGACCCTTCTAACATGTTAATACAGCAGTAACATGTTAATATAGTCTCCTAACATGTTAATATAGTCTCCTAACATGTTAATTTAGTCTCCTAACATGTTAATTTAGTCTCCTAACATGTTAATATAGTCTCCTAACATGTTAATACACAAGTAACATGTTTCTCAACCCACCCCATAGCTGCGTCTAAACTCCATCAAGAAACTCTCGACCATCGCCTTGGCCCTCGGAGTGGAGAGGACAAGAAGCGAACTCATCCCCTTCCTCACCGACACAATATACGATGAGGACGAGGTTTTGTTGGCCCTGGCCGAGCAGCTGGGCACGTTTACCCCTCTGGTCGGGGGTCCAGAGTACGTCCATTGTTTATTGGTGAGTACTGGCTGGAGACTGTGGGGTTAGGTTAGGTTTTTTCTGTTAACTCAAGGGGTTAGGTTTTTTCTGTTAACTCAAGGGGTTAGATTTAGTCTGTTAATTCTCAAGGGTTTAGGTCTTCTGTTAACTCAAGGGATTAGGTTTTTTCTGTTAACTCAAGGGGTTAGGTCTTCTGTTAACTCAAGGGGTTAGGTTAGGCTAGTAGAATAATTGATTGTATTGTTTTTGTCAGTACAGTAGTTGCACTTGGGGAGACATTTTCAGATATATAACACATCAAGTCAATCCTGTGAGTGTTTGGACGTGTGTTAATTGACTCACACTTACAGCCGCCTCTAGAGTCCCTCGCCACAGTGGAGGAGACGGTGGTGCGGGACAAAGCCGTGGACTCCCTGCGGAGAATATGCGAAGAACACAACACGGAGGACTTGGAGACGCACTTTGTGCCCCTGGTGAAGCGGCTGGCCGTAGGAGACTGGTTCACATCGCGTACCTCCGCCTGCGGCCTCTTCTCCGTCTGTTACACCAGGCTCTCCGTGGCAACTAAAGGTCAGGGGTCAATCCTTCCCTCTCATGGTAGTTAGGTCACATAAGGCACTCTTGTCCCTGTTGGTAGCTCTACAGAATGAGTTAAGTGTGTGTGTCTTGACTCCTGTAGGTGCCAAACATGTTGTAATGTATGAGAAAATAGAGCAAGTTAACTCACTCAATGGGAGATCTGTCCGATGAATTTGAGAATGAACATCGCGGCTCCTGTGTCATATTGTCTTGCATAAAATCATGGAGATGGTTTTTAGAGTGAGTTTACAGACCATTAGTGTAATATGTACCTTAATAGATACAGGATAGTATATATTATAGGCAGAGGCTACATGGCCCACAGTACAGACTATCCATCATTACACTGGGTTGAGGTTGTCCCTTTACCACACCAGCCTGCCAAATAAAAACAACAAAATAATTAAATTCTTTTCAGCAAAAACCCTAATATTTAACCTAAACTCAAGACTCCACGATGTAAAGTAAACATTTAGCTATAGCGAACGACCCCCTAATCATATCTACTAACCACCTCGTTCCCCCCCTCCACAGCTGAACTACGTTCCCACTTCCGTTCACTATGCCAGGACGACACCCCAATGGTGCGTCGTGCGGCAGCGGGGAAGTTGGGCGAATTCGCAAAGGTCGTTGAAGTGGAGTACCTGAAGACGGACCTCATCCCCATGTTTGTCGCTCTAGCGCAGGACGAGCAGGTGGGTGTATATGGGGGAAAGGACACGGGTAAACGGCGTCGTTAAGGCGTCGATCGTTAGTCCGTCCGACGAGGGAGATAATTGGTTAGGTTAGAGGGAACTCGGCTATCATGTTTAATGGGAACAATCGGATTACCTGCATGTGCTTGTGAGTGGTCGTTACAAGCATCCGACACCTATAATGGTCGTTTACCACCATTTGGAAGTCTTAATTAATATTGGTGGTGAAATAGCTGCCAGGTGACTTCAAGAAAGGTGTTATGAAAGGTAATTGGGGATGAATCACCTGTTATGAGGGTAATCACTACAGGGTCGACTCAATACAAGAACTGCTTAATTACCCTAAATACGTTATTCTTACCCCGTTAATTACACAGTTTAGGGTGGATGTAAAGTAAAGGTTAATGAATGTAGTCCAGATGTGTTTTGGGATATAGTTTGCACAGTATTAATGAATGGTACAGTTTACCAGTATATTGAAGATTAGGTAACTGTTTTAGCTTTTATGTAGGGGGGGTCCTTATTACTGTGATATTTTAGCTTTCAAGTTATGTAGCGCAGGACCTTTTTAGTGTGATATTTTAGCTTTTAAGTTATTATGTAGGGAGGGTCTTTGATAGTGTATTCTTGTAGCTTTTAAGTTATGTAGCGCAGGACCTTTTTAGTGTGATATTTTAGCTTTTAAGTTATTATGTAGGGAGGGTCTTTGATAGTGTATTATTTTAGCTTTTAAGTTATGTAGCGCAGGACCTTTTTAGTGTGATACTTTAGCTTTTAAGTTATGTAGCGCAGGACCTTTTTAGTGTGATACTTTAGCTTTTAAGTTATATAGCGAGGGAGAGGGGTGGGGGAGGGCCCTGGACAATAGTTTTAGCAGGTGTATTTATTTGAGTTCCATGACAGTGTGTCTATGACCATGTTTCGTACACAAGAACTTGAGTCAGGCATACGCACCCTAAAAGACAACCCCACAACTCTGGCAGGATTCCGTGAGGTTGTTGGCGGTGGAGGCCTGCGTCAGTATGGCCGGTCTACTGCAGCAGGAGGACACGGAGATGCTGGTCATGCCCACTCTCCGTCAGGCGGCGGAGGACAAGTCGTGGAGAGTCAGGTACATGGTCGCCGATCGCTTCATTGACCTCCAGAAGGCTGTAGGGCCAGAGATTACCAAGACCGATCTTGTTCCTGCCTTCCAGAGTTTGCTAAAGGATGTGGAAGCTGAGGTGGGTGTGTGTGTGTGTGTGTTGGGTGTGTGTGTGTGTTGGGTGTGTGTGTGTGTGTGTTGGGTGTGTGTGTGTGTTGTGTGTGTGTGTTGGGTGTGTGTGTGTGTGTGTGTGTGTGTGTGTGTGTGTGTGTGTTGGTGTGTGTGTGTGTGTGTTGGGTGTGTGTGTGTGTTGTGTGTGTGTGTGTGTGTGTGTGTGTGTGTGTGTGTGTTGGGTGTGTGTGTGTGTTGGGTGTGTGTGTGTGTGTGTTGGGTGTGTGTGTGTGTTGGGTGTGTGTGTGTGTGTGTTTTTGTGCAGTGCCGGATTTAGACCTGTGGAGGCCCATGGGCAGCCTCTTTGTGGAGGCCCCCCTCATTATAACTACCCAAGAGGGTGGGGTGGTGAGTGAAGCAAGCCTAAACATCTGGGAGTTCCAAGGGGCGCTGTAAGCTCCACCAGGAAAATTTTGAAATTTGAACACTTTGGAGAATTTTGAAGCCATATGCAGTTATATTAAAAGTATTAAAAATGTACGGTTCATAGGAAAACCAGGTATTCATGAATTTCAAGGAGTAGCTAGCCTAATTTCTATCACGCTTCTTGCTGAACATAGTTTTACGTGATGGAATAGATAAACATGAATTTTAAAGAATGAAAATAAAAATAATCCAAATGAATAAACAAATAAATAAAATATTGTAATATGTGGAGGCCCCTGGGCAGCTGCCCACTTTACCCACTCCTGGATCCGGCCCTGTGTGTGTGTGTGTGTTAAATTTACCCATTTAGAGAAGGCATCACAGATGGCCACATAACACAATCATCATTCACTCAGTTGCTTTATGAGTTCAGTAATGGTTCACGTGATATAGTTAATGATGTTCAACGATGGTTTATTGAGGCCGTTGAACGATGACGAGGCTCCCGTGTTCTTTCAGGTTCGAGCAGCAGCAGCGGGTAAGGTCAAAGACTTCTGCCAGAACGTCGATCCCAGCGTCCAGGAGAATGTTATCATGAACAACATTCTTCCCTGTGTTAAGGTGAGCCGTGTTTGGTGAATGTTGGCCTTGTGGGAGTGGGTTAGGTTAGGTTCTGGGGTGTTCAATCATCGGGTGAAATAATCTAGTGTGGCTAATCTAAACATTTTACACATTGGATAAAAAACACAAAATAAACGCCGCCCTCGATTTTTACCGGGGAAATTCGCCTCCATATCGAGTCATTACAATAAGTGTCGCTCGTGCCGCAGGAACTAGTAACGGACGGGAACCAGCACGTCAAATCTGCCCTGGCCGGGGTGATAATGGGCCTGTCACCGATACTGGGTAAGGACAACACCGTCAACCACCTCCTGCCACTCTTCCTCTCACAGCTTAAGGATGAATGTCCTGAAGTCAGACTCAACATTATCTCCAACCTCGACTGTGTTAATGAAGTCATCGGTATCCAGCAGGTAGGTGGAGGGATGTCTTCTTTGGGCTCTCTTGTCATGATGGGATTTATATTATCGTTTATGAGTTAATCCGTGTAAAGACGTCCTTTATTTTAGTCGTTTGAGGGACATTTTGTATGGGGTCCGCTGTAATAAACGATTGTTATTACAGCTATCCCAGTCGTTGCTGCCGGCGATCGTTGAGTTGGCAGAGGATACTAAATGGCGAGTGCGTCTAGCGATCATTGAATACATGCCCCTGCTGGCTGGCCAACTAGGGGTCGACTTCTTCAACCAATCCTTGTCTAAGTTGTGCATGACGTGGCTTGTGGATCATGGTGAGTGTGTCATGTGAAGGCTCAGCTGATAGTATGAATATTGATAAGATATTAGTCAGTATAAATATTGATAAGGTATAAGTCATTGTGTTTACTGATAGAAGGAATGTACCAGTGTCGGTCGAGCGTTGTGAGAAACCTACGACATGTTTATTATTTATACAAGATTATCACTACTGTTAGAATGTGTACAGGTTATCATGATAAATTCTTGATTATACTACAACTATTAACCATAATTAACCTTATTAATACTTTACAAGAATAAGTATTAGTAATTTTTAACCATATGGACTTCCCTATAAGATATAAGATAGTATTTATGAGGAATTTATTAATCACAAGACATTAATTAGTACTGTATCATAAACACACATAGTTAATGGCATTCTTATATCAAACCTTCGCTTTACCTTTCTCACAGGCAATTATTTTCCAACTCTCTAAAGTTTCCTGTGATTTCTTTGTCGGTGTTAATTATTCTTCCTATCGCTATATCTCACCAGACGTCTATTTTTGTGATTTATTCCAATGTTTGTGTGATGTTATCGTCTTGCTCCCCATCCCCCCCAACAGTGTACGCTATCCGGGAAGCAGCGACCAACAACCTACGCAAACTGGTGGAGAAGTTTGGGGCAGATTGGGCGTCTCAGAACGTTTTACCCAAGATAAACGCAATGTCTCGTGACGGCAATTACCTCCACCGCATGACCTGTCTTGCCTGTATAAATGTGAGTTACCTGGGACGTCCCTTGATTGGTCGATTCACCTGCCAATTATCACCAGTTTTTATCATTTACATCGTCGTCCCTGAGGCGAATTAGATCATTTCCCGCCAAGTAAAATATTAAAAGTGGCGCCCCCCCATACTGAAGGGGTGTTGTATAGTGAAGTGGTTAATAATAACAACGGCTGACCTCTCTCCTAGCCCCTCATACAGTTATCTCAAGGTATTATTATATAACATTTAGTATCATCTGGATTAGTACATGTAACTTGGTGTTTGTAAGTACATATGAAAATATTCTCATAATTATCACTTTATTTATATAATCTGGATGTTGTATAGTCAATGTGGATGTTGTATAGTGTATGTGGATGTTGTACAGTCAATGTGGATGTTGTATAGTGTATGTGGATGTTGTAATGTAAGTTATAATCGCGACTAACATTGTGGATGTGTTATACAGGTCGTAGGAGAAGTGTGTGGCAAGGACGTCACCACCAAAACACTCCTCCCTACTGTACTGGCCATGGCCAACGATAACGTCCCCAACGTGAGGTTTAATGTGGCCAAGACCCTACAGATCATTGGCCCCCATATTGAGAAGGAGTGAGTACTGTCTGTTGTGGGTACTGGTGTCTATATCATGCCTTAATAATAACAGGAATGGCTAAAACAAACAGGTTAGAGTGAGTGTTGTTTAAAGGGACACAGGATACAGTTAAAGGGGATATGTATCTTGAGGCATTGTTATCGAAGGGGGACACATAACTAAGTGTATACATAGAAGCAGTTTGGTTGGGTTATGTATCTTGGGGAGGTTCAGTATATGATGTCTTTGGTTTACTTGAGTCATGTAGCCAGATTGTGTTTAAGATAGATTGTCTCTAGTATCTCTCTGTGTCTCTTATCTCTGTGTGTTTCTCTATTTATAATGTCTCTGTCTTCTCCCAGGTCCCTCCATTCCCAAGTCAAGGCAGTGTTAGACAGACTGAATGATGACCCAGACACGGACGTTAAATACTTCGCCTCTGAAGCACTGACAGGTACGTATTGACCTGCGCGTTCCTCCTCCTCCTCCTCCTCCCCCACACCACCACCGAGAGTTTTGTTCGCTTCATTACATTTGATGTTCTGCCAGTTTGTTTGTTTGTTCTATGCTGAAGAAATAAAGACAGGTGCTGAATTAAACTGTTCATGATATAAATTGATACTCTATGGTGTTGTCAAAATTATGTTAAGGGGCCGTGTACAGATTCACGTCCCTCTGGCAGTACGTCTCTGGTTTTACGCTCAGTCCTCTCCTGCTCTGTCCCGGAGACCGCGCGAGACGCCAGATTCCCGGCCGGCCGCCCGCGCCGGGGCACGGCGTCGGGCGGACAGAGGATGCCGTCGAGTGAGACTCCATTGATTGATAAGCACTGATATTGTACAGGAAAAAGTTGATCGCTTACTGTGAGGGGACGGAGCTGTTGTACTGTACAGTAGTTGATGTTTTTGCATGGTAGAAACAAACCCAAAAACTTATAATCCAAGACTTCTCTCTTGCCTTTTCAGAAAATGGTCTTATATAAATGGCCTTATTTTTTCTAGCCTTTGGCTGAGAAAAATAAAAGGTGCTGCTGTAATATCTTCTGGTAAGTAAGATTAGAGTGAACTTCACAAGTGGAGTCTCATTCACTCAGTTTTCTTAGATGGTTGGCTGGTTGGCTCGCTCACTCTGCACCACAGTATTGTTGTGGACGACCTGTGTCGGCTGTCGGGCCCGGTCTGGGGTCTTCACACTGACTTGAAAATGACCCGACTAATACGGTCAAGTCCTCGTCCTCGCCACCTCACATAATGTACACACCCCCTGGCGGTCACGTCCTCGCCTTCCATCAATAAGTGGTAGTGTTGTAACGACCACACACAAGGTTCACCCAGTAATGTAAGGAAGTGTGTGTGTGTGTGTACGTTATGTGAGCGACCGCGTCTCTTAGGTAACATCCATTAAGTGTGTGTGTGTGTTGGGGGGACAAACATCACAGAGGAACCCATCTTAGAGCCTCTCTTGTCTGAACTAAACTATATAATAAAACATTGATCCCATTATAATATTAATAGTTTATTGTTGTGTTATGGGCAAATATCTTCCTCTATCTTGTTATTTTCCTCCACGCACACACACGATATTAGACTGGTTTCTATACTTGGATAAACAGGTATTTTAAACTCGACTGTCTATTGCTCTGATGTAGTAGTCAAGACCAATCACAATGTTAGCTTATGTGGAGCACCTGAAGATTAGCCCCCTCCCTCCCATATAGTTCAGGGGTGGTTAATCTTCAGGTGAGTACTGGCTGGTGGGGGCTAGGCTAATCTTCAGGTGAGTACTTGGAGGGGTGTTTAATCTTCAGGTGATCCATAAAGGGTTAACATCGCATCTGGTGACTAGTCGACAAATCCTGAGGTGTTGGTAAAATGGTCCCCTTACCTATTGGACTTAACCCTGGTTCTTGTGGTTAGGTTAGGGGCTATTTAACCAGTCACCTTCCGTAGACTAAATTTCATAGTCAATCGTCCTCGAAGTTTGTAATGATGTGAACGACCGTAAACCTCTTGGATGATTGATATATGACAACTTCCTGGCCAATATAACTGCAGTGTGAGCTATTTTCTACAACATATTAGATATATATAGTGTATATACTGAGCTTCCACATACAGTAGTTCACATATAGATGCCTTAGTGAAGTACGCGTGTAAATAATCACTTAATTGTTTTTTAAGTCATAGCGCTCGCCGCTCAGGTATTCGGCCCAGCGCTGTTTTGGCTACTGTACAGAATCCATTAATATTTTGTATGATTATTGTGTATTATAGTTATCTAATGAGCCTTATAGATAAACCAAGCAGGTGTGAAGTATTTTAATTAAGGTATTATGTTACCTGTGCTATACACATGTGGATTATATTATCACATTTCCTTTGATAGTTTGGTCAGTTTTCTGTGTGGGACAACACTGGTGAACTGGATATGTTGACTTCATTATCCTATATTGAATTATGTTGGCTTCATTATCCTGTGTTTTATCGAGGTGAATCCATGGCTTAGACACTTGCAGTCAAGATAGCGACTTTATTTCATTTGTACAGAGATGTGGTGTGTGGAATTGTCACGGTGTCTACAATCAACCACATACACACACCACAAACAAAGAGTAAACGTAAAGAATTACCCCAAGCCGGTGTATCACGCATGTGTGTTAATTTAATAGCCAGTAATGCCTTCGAATAGCAACATCATGAGATGGCCTACCTCCAATACACCACTGGCCAAATATACTACGATGACCTAACTACATTGTGACGATGTTTCTTTTGTGTAAATACCATAATACTGTATATCCGACAGAGCGGTATTAACACTTGCGGCTTGTGTTCGCTCCACACCAATACCCCAGTGGTTCTGTTACTTCACCAGTTCTCGAGTACGTCTTTCGTGGACAGATGTGTTGTGGTCGGGTTATGTTAGGTTAGCAGCTAAAGAAGATCATGTAACCACAATATGTTGGCTTGTTACTTGCCGTTTGTCTGTTATATGGAAGACGTTTGATATGCTAATGGGGCACCGATGTGTAGAGAATGTTGCCACCACGATAATACGTGTTATTTCACCTTTGTTTACACCCGACTGAACTGAGTTTGATTTTATTTTCATTAATATCCGAGAGAAAATATATATACATATATATATATATATATATATATATATATATATATATATATATATATATATATATATATATATATATATATATATATATATATATATATATATATATATATATTTTCATTTTAGGGTGTTTGACATCATAGCCCCCCCCCCCATAATAGATGTCAACGCTGGGGATGAGTTTGTCGTAGTCATTATTAATTATTTTCACAACTCGCGTAGTTTTTCATGACAAAATTTATAAAGAAACTTTATTTTAGATAATGATTCTTAGCGTTAAGTTGTGTTGAAATAATTTAATGCCTCGGGATAATGATTCGCGACAACTAATATATTTCTCGTGTCTCTACAGCCATGACTCCGCTCTTTGCAACACCATAGGGGGCGGAAAATCCATCCCAACGAGCACAACACAAGACCTAAGTCGGGGAACGTTTACTATTTCAACCACAAGATCTTGACGAGTGTTTTGGGATATGAGGAAATGGCATCTTGGTTTATCCCCTCCACCCACCCCCCCCCTCCTTCCCCCTCCCCCTCGTGTATTTACGGTGTGTTTATAAATCCCAGGTCGTGAGGCAGTTGGACCCAGCGGGCTTATCTGCTCTCCACTATTCTATCACAAATCTGTTTCAACGAGTATTTTTATTTGTTTCCTTTTAACGTCAACGGGGTCTATTAACCCACTCCTAAATTTTGTAAACCCCATGTTGACGACTTATCATTAAAGCCGTACTGATGACTGTTTTATAATATTTATTTTTGACATTGTATTAATTCTGATTTGTTTTTCCCTTTTATCAATTATTTTGTTTTTTTTTTCATCTGTAACATTGAGTTTGACATATTGGGAATAAACTATTATAGAGAGGATCATTTTGTTATGAGTACTGAACTGTAGTGGTCTATGTGTGTGAGGCACCACTAGATCTCTCTCAATGTTGGACGAGCGTACGGACGGAAAACGGAATGAACTTAGGGTCGCATTGTCCCCATAGACTATAGTCAGTCCTCCTAGAGCCCACAGTGGATTGAACCATTTATCAGATCCTTGGGGACGTGTAAAACTTATGAAATTTCCTAGTTCTGTTTTCTTATTCACAGTATGGTAAATATAAGGCTCACAAATATAACTTTTCTACGCTTGATGGACGGTCGATTTTATTGGTATTTCATTTATATATAGAGAGAGAGAGAGATAATCACCCTGTCCTTGTGTACTGTGAGGTGCGTCGGTGATTACGTCGACGGAATAAAGTCGTTTAAGCTCATTGTGGTGGCTATCGGCATATAGATGGATCACTGCGCACCTACAGTGATTTGTTTCATTAATTTGTGACTAGTGCAGAAGTATTGCCATCAATGCCCCTCTGTAGTTAATGTACTGTAGGTCACTATATATATATTGATCAGTTCATATTAGTGATTTTTTTATATCTATATATAATAAATATTTAATTTTTGCAGGAGATTATGCAAAAAAAAACAAAAATAGTAAACCAGCCATTCTTGTATTATTATTATTATTATTATTATTATTATTCATGTGACCAGCTCTCCAATGCTAATGTATTCTATAATTTTTCTGTACAAATACATATTCCATAGTGGATGTGGCGTTTGATATTTGACCTGCATGGTGAAAGGTGGTGATTGACACATGTACAGGGTGTCTTATAGTTCACACACACATGTACAGGGTGTCTTATAGTTCACACACACATGTACAGGGTGTCTTATAGTTCACACACACATGTACAGGGTGTCTTATAGTTCACACACACATGTACAGGGTGTCTTATAGTTCACACACACATGTACAGGGTGTCTTATAGTTCACACACACATGTACAGGGTGTAGTTCACACACACACATGTACAGGGTGTCTTATAGTTCACACACACATGTACAGGGTTATAGTTCACACACACATGTACAGGGTGTCTTATAGTTCACACACACATGTACAGGGTGTCTCATAGTTCACACACACATGTACAGGGTGTCTTATAGTTCACACACACACATGTACAGGGTGTCTCATAGTTCACACACACATGTACAGGGTGTCTTATAGTTCACACACACATGTACACATAGTTCACACACACATGTACAAGGTGTCTTATAGTTCACACACACATGTACAGGGTGTCTTATAGTTCACACACACATGTACAGGGTGTCTCATAGTTCACACACACATGTACAGGGTGTCTTATAGTTCACACACACATGTACAGGGTGTCTCATAGTTCACACACACATGTACAGGGTGTCTTATAGTTCACACACACATGTACAGGGTGTCTCATAGTTCACACACACATGTACAAGGTGTCTCATAGTTCACACACACATGTACAGGGTGTCTCTATAGTTCACCCACACATGTACAGTGGGGGTGTCTTATAGTTCACACACACATGCGTGGGTAAGTCTTGAGTAGTTCACACACATGTACAGGGTGTCTCATAGTTCACACACACATGTACAGGTGTCTTGTAAGTTCACCCTGTACAGAATTGTATAGTTCACACACACATGTACAGGGTGTCTTATGGTTCACACACACATGTGGGGTGTCTTCAGTTTCACACACACATGTACAGGTGTCCTCATAAGTTCACACACATGTACAGGGTGTCTTATGGTTCACACACATGTACAGGGTGTCTTATAGTTCACACATGTACAGAGTGTGTATAGTTCCACACACATGTGGGGTGTCTCATAGTTCTTACATGTGGGGTGTCTTATAGTTCTTTTTTACATGTACAGGTGTCTTATAGTTCCACACACACATACTTGGGGTGTCTTATAGTTCACACACACACACATGCTTTGGGGTGTCTTCTCAGTTCACAAACATACATGTACAGAGTGTCTTATGGTTCACACACATGTACAGGTGTCTTATGTACACACATGTAGGGTGTCTATAGTTCCCACACACACATGTGCAGGGTGTCTTATAGTTCACACACACATGTACAGGTGTGTATAGTTCACACACATGTACAGGTGTCATATAGTTCACACACACATGTGCAGGGTGTCTTATAGGTTCACACACACACACACACTGTGTGCAGTTGTCATGTAGTTCACACACACCCTGTACAGGGTGTCTTATAGTTCACACACACAGGTGCAGTGTCATAGTTCTGCACATGTGCACAGGGGTGTCTTATAGTTCACACACACGTGCAGGGTGTCTTCCATAGTTCACACACACACTGTGCAGGGGTGTCTTATAGTTCCTTTGCACATGTGCAGGGTGTCTTATAGTTTCACACACACACACATGTACAGAGTGTCTATAGTTTCACACACACATGTGCAGGGGTGTCTTATAGTTCACACACACACATGTACAGGGGTGTCTTATAGTTCACACACACATGTACAGGTGTCTTATAGTTTCACACACACAGGTACCAGGGTGTCATGGTTCACACACACATGTGCAGGGTGTCTTATAGTTCCACACATGTGCAGGGTGTCTTCTGGTTCACACACACATAGCACGGTGTCTTATAGTTTCCACACACATGTGGGTGTGTCTTATAGTTCACACACACATGCTTGGGGTGTCTTATAGTTCACACACACACACACATGTGGGGTGTCTTATAGTTCACACACACATGTACCAGGTGTCTTATAGTTCACACACACACATGTGGGTGTCTTCTAATTTCACACACCACACACATAGCACAGGTGTCTTATGGTTCCACACACACACAGAGTGCAAGGTGTCATAATTCACACACACACACACATGTACACAGGGTGTCTTATAAGTTCACACACACACATAGGGTGTCTCAGTCACACACACATATTTGAGGGTGTCTCATGGTTTCACACACACAGGTACCAGGGTGTCTTATAATTTCACACACACATGTGCAGGGTGTCTTATGGTTCTGCATGCAGGGGTGTCTTATAGTTCACACACACACATGTGGGGTGTCTTCTGGTTCCACACACAGGTGCAGGGTGTCTGGTTCACCACACACACATGTGGGGTGTCTTATAGTTCCACACACATGTGGGGTGTCTCCATGATCCACCACACATGTACAGGGGTGTCTCTGGATTCCACACACACACATGTACAGGGTGTCTTATGATTCACACACACATGTACAGGGTGTCTTACTGGTTTCACACACATGTGCAAATTGTCTTATAGTTCACATGTACAGGGGTGTCTTCTCATCTACCTTGGGGTGTCTTATGGTTTCACACATGTGGGGTGTCACTTATAGTTCCTGGCTTGTGTGCAGGGGTGTCTCATAGTTCCACACACATGTACAGTGTCTATAGTTCACACACACACATGTGGGTGTCTTATAGTTCCACACATGTACAGGGTGTCTTATAGTTCACACACATGTGCAAGTGTCTTATAGTTCTTTACATGTGCAGAATCTCTCATAAGTCACACACACATGTACAGGTGTCTTACTCAGTTCCACACACACATGTGCAGGGTGCCTCATAAGTCACACATACTTACAGGGTGTCTCTTAGTTCCACACACATGTACAGGGGTGTCTCATAGTTCCCACACACATGTGGGGTGTCTCATGGTCTACACATGTGGGGTGTCTTATGGTTCCACACACACATGTGCAGGGTGTCTCATAAGTCACACACATGTACAGGGTGTCTTATAATTCACACACACACATATGCAGGGGTGTCTCTGGTTCTACACACATGTACAGGGTGTCTCATGGTTACACACATGTACAGGGTATGTATAAGTTCCACACACACACATGTGCAGGGTGTCTCATAGAAGTCACACACACATGTACAGGGTGTCTTATAGTTCCACACACATATGATTATCTCTCAGTCCACACGCCAGCACAGGTGTCTTCTCGTTGCACACATGTACAGGGGTGTCTCTGGTTCCCACACACCCTGTGGGGTGTCTTGGATTCTGCATGCAGGGCTCTCATAGAGTCACCTGTACCCAGGGTGTCTTATAGTTCCACCACACATGTGGGGTGTCTTGCTAGTTTCCACACACACCTGTGCAGGGTGTCTAGTTCACACATGTACAAGGGTGTCTTGTAGTTCACACACACACATGTGGGGTGTCTTATAGTTCCACACACACACACATGTACAGGGGTATGTATAGTTCACACACATGTAGGTGTCTCATAATTCCACACACACATGTGCAGGTGTCTTATAGTTCACACACACACATGTGCAGGTGTCATGATCACACACACATGTACAGGTGTCTTATAAAGACCACACACACATGTGCTGGGGTGTCTCCATGAAGTCACACACACGTATTGGGGAGTGTCTCATGTTCACACACACACATACAGGTGTCTCATGGTTTCACACACACACACATGTGCAGGTGTCTCATAGTGCACACACACATGTACAGGGTGTCTTATAGTTCTTTGCATGTACAGAGTGTCTTATAGTTCACACACACATGTTGCAGGGGTGTCTTATAGTTCACACACACACAACCTGCAAGGTCTCTGCAAGTTCACACACACACCTGTGGGAGTGTCTCATGATCACACACACCGCATGTGGGTGTCTCATGATTCACACACACACATGTGGGGTGTCTCTTAG